AGAGAAACTAACCTAGATTAAACGAGAAACTAACCTAGATTAAACTACGAAAAAGGATTAATAATCGATTTTTAAACAGAGAGAAACTAACCTCGATTATAAATAGGATTAAAATAGGTAGGAAATAGGATTAAATGCGTAGTAAATAAATGGACGCGTATGCTACAGTTTTATTAGATGTATCCCTTTTAAGTAGGTTATACGAACTTTTAACTAATTAAAACGGTGTATACGAACTTTCAGCTAATAAAAACAGAGTTTTCTCTAAATGATACCCCTTTATAGAGTTATTTATAGGGGTATTTAGCCCCCTAATTAATCAGTATGACAGGGGGTTATGCGTATTATAACTATCCTCCGGATAGGATAATCCCGAGTAATTCTACGTTATATAATAATATGCCTTTCTTTGTACTCGCGCTTATTATATTAACGAAATTAAGAGCGTTATAAAAGCAAAAGATTTTCTCGAAATAATTAAGGCTAAGATCGCAATCGACTAGGTAACTCGGGTATTAATCGCTTTTATAAAAGCTAATAAACTCGACGAATAACTAAAGACCTTTAAATAATTAGGTATCGTATTTAACGCTCTCGCTACCGAGAATAAATAGAAAGGTAAATCTAGTTATGGAATTTTTGTAATAGCTTATTAAGGTCCAATATTAACGGCGAAATTAAATAATAATAGCGGCTAAGGAAAAGTAACGAGCTACGAATGCCCTTATAAGTCTAGAGGTAGACCATATATATAGCTAGCTCGCTTTTATAGAATCCTTTAAAAGTCCGTTACTAATTAAATTATACGCTACATATAAAATATCCCGATTAATATTATACGAAAGATTAAGGCTAGGTAAGAATTACCTAAGTATGCTAAGCTCCGAAATTAAATCAACCGCTAAGGATAAGACGTTCCCGTAAATAAAATACCTAATAATCGCTCCGGAAACGGGAGAGGAAATAACGCTACTACCTAGCTAGCTAATATTAACGTAATAATTATCGACCTATATATTACATACCTATTTACCTAAATTAAGATTTACTTTATCCTATCCGGAGGATAGTTATAATACGTATAACCCCCTGTTATACTAATTAATTGCGGGGTTAAATACCCCTGTAAATACCCCTGTAAAGGAGTGTTATTTAGGGGAAACTCTGTTTTTATTAGCTGAAAGTCCGCATACGCCGTCTTAATTAGCCAAAAGTCCGTATGACCTACTTAAAAGGGATGCATCTAATAAAACTGCAGCATACGCGTCCATTTATTTACTATGCGTTTAATCCTATTTTCTACCTATTTTAATCCTATTTATAATCGAGGTTAGTTTCTCTCCGTTTAAAAATCGATTATTAATCCTTTTTCGTAGTTTAATCTAGGTTAGTTTCTCGTTTAATCTAGGTTAGTTTCTCGTTTAATCTAGGTTAGTTTTTCCCCGTTTAATCCAAGTTAGTTTCTCCCCGTTTAATCCAAGTTAGTTTCTCTACGTTTAATCTAGAGTTAATTACTAATCAATCCCTTTTCGTAGTTTAATCAAGCGTCGATTCCTACTTACCCGTTTTTCCCTAGCCTTCGGAGAGGTTCTAGGTTTTCGGCACGAAAACGTGGAGAAGCGCGGAGTGCTTCGACGTATTTTAATAAGTATAAATAGGCACGCTTTTATAACAGTGAATAGGCAAGCGTTGCAGCAGTTATCAGTCAATAGGAAGCCAACCAATAAGGTGCTGAACAGGAGCAGCGTGGGCACGCTGACGGAGGCACGAAACAAGGACTGCCCAACTGCCAACAACTGGCCCAGTGTCGATCAACTCTAGATCACAGCTGTAAACAGCTGTAATCGGTTAATCGGCCAGCTGAAAACGGCAGCTGGGAAAGGAGGAGACTAGAAAAGGGCAAGGCAACGAGAATGGCTAGAAAGGCATGGTAAGAAACGAGTGAATAGCTATAACTGGTGATGGCTGTGATGGCTATCGTGATAGCTATAGGTCTAAGTCTAACTGATGAAAATATGAGTGCGCGACCCATATAAATAGACATCGAAAAGGCTACGTGGCCTAGATCCACCGCACCACTACAGTGCCCAGGATCCATAATATACTCTTTTTATCGCTATCCTCATTACTGTGCCTTTACACAGGCGCTTGTCTTCGTGACTATGTCTTTGCTTTCTTTCCTTAGTTATGCTGGCTACAGCTGTTCATGTACGCCCCCTCCTACAGCGTGCCCACGCTGTTCCTCTTCGGTGTCAGTGTGTTGAAAAGGCTGGGCACGAAGCGGGGATTTTCGCTTAATCTGGTTAGAGGTTGGAGTGAGGTAGAGGGGATTCGTCAGGTTGGCCTGTAACCTGCCTATATGGCATAGTAATAGAAAAGTTACCCTTTTACCCTAGCCCATTCGCCCAGCTGGTTGCATTCGCTTCGCGTTCTGGCAGGGCTACAACATGAGCAGCCGATAGGGAGAAGGCTGATAGAAACACAAATGGAAGCATCCCCTTGAGACGGGGTTTGGGAGGTTGGCAGAGAAGACGAACTGAGGTAGATAGGTAGGTATTCCGCCTATGCACCTATCGTTGACCTACCCGAATCTTCTTCCCTTCCTCCTTCTCTCCCCCTCCCGCCCTGCCCCCCTTTCCCGGCGTGTGACCTCCAAACTCCCTCTTCGCCGAGTGAGAAGTGACTGGTGCTGCTGACGCGCCGAGCGCCGGTGATCGGCTGTCCCGAAAGAGAGAGGGGGGGGGGAAGAGAGGTTGGGGCAGAGGCAAGAAACAGAGGATGACTGCTTCTTTTTTTTCTTTCTCCCCTTCTCTCTCCTCTTTTGATTGGTGTGGAGTAGGAGGCCGGCGTGTAGCTGATGAGACTGATAATTGTCATGTGTTGTTGCTGCATGCCTACGTGGGACGATGCCCATCAGGGGTCTTCACTGGCCAGACACAGAATGCGAGGGAAGCGAAACGTAATAGCGATACATAGATGGGGACAGTCCGGCTCCCCCAACTTTTCCTGGGGTGCATGATGCACAAGCAAATGGCCCTCTAGACGAATGCCAACGCCGCTTGGCGGCGTAGTAGAGGCACGACAACCGTGGTGGATGCAACACTCATGGTTACTGGATACGGACCAATACGGCCACTGGTCTCCTGGACGGTCGTCTTCTTCGTCCTCTCCTCCTGTTTCCGTTAGTTGCAGATAGGTAAGGTCCTGTGTGATGTTGACTCTCTCCGCTCTGGCGTCCTATGGTTGTCCAAGTGCGGTGAGCTTGTCTTGACAGGGCGAAACTACGTGACAATCACGTTTGACTGTGAACATTTGGGGAAAGTACCTGCCTCAACAACCCGGGTACTAGGTATACCTACGTAGAGGGGAGGAGGGCCGTTATTATGGTAGAACATCGACACAGTCGTTTGCCCAAGCTGCGAAGGATGATACCATTACAACGTCGCAACGTCCTCCCTTTCGTGGAGGCGAGGGATTGACGAGGTAGGTAGTATGTGGGGAAGGGAAACCAGATCCAGATAAACAGGGCTGGGAGGAGGACACAAGGAGAGCGTCGGCAGCAGGCCAGCCTCGGAGCCTGGACTCGATTTGCGAAGCCCTATCAAGCCCTATACGGGTAGTAAATAGTCTACACGTACAGGAAGTACTTGTACTACGCACTCAGTCAGTACTTCCCACAGTCGAGAGGGTTGAGTCTGGGGATGGGGGATGGGGATGTGGGAGATGCACCGGACCAGGCTGGGACAAAACGTACCTAGGTAGGTAGAGTAGGAAAAGAGGGCTGCGGTTGTTATTGGATACGCTCTCCCGGGATTCCGTGCCAGGGGGGTAGGTTTAGTTGGGGGAGGGCGCCGCTCTGCATTCTACTGGTGAACGCTCGCAACCTGCTTGCCGTGTTTCGCCCTTCTCAGGCAACGAGGGAGCTCCAGGAATCCGCTGCGATGGGATTCGGCGAATCTTCCATCTACCTATCGATAGTATCCCCTGCAAATACCTAGGTACGGTACCTACGAACATATTCCAAAGACCTTTCCGGCCTCCGATGGGTTACGCATCTGCGCGGCGAGAGTACCGTGGTAAGAGAAAGGGTTACCTACATCCTATGGGTACCTAGGTAGCTAGGTAGGTACCTACAGGTTTAGGTAGGTAGGTTCAGGTACCTAGGTAGGTATGGGCTCTGGCAGCAGCCACTAGTCTCTCCTCACCCATCTACTTCGGCCCCCTACCTAGTATGCATACCTCTACATATACGCCCTCCGCGTATCCCGGATGGCTGACGAGAGAGTCTCGAAGGACCCGACAAGCACTGCATAGGCGCAGCCACAAGCCGTACGGACGGAGATAGTGGCAGCGGCAGCGGCAGCGGCAGCATGCGGTCGCTTCTTGGGGTTCTCAGGGCCATCTTAGCTGAGATAAGATCGCCCAACGCCGGACGCGTGTCGACTTTGCGTACTTCGACGTGCTGTGTGTATGTAGGTAGATCGTATACGTAGGTATACCTATATGCCTACCTACCTATGTACAGGCGAACCATTCTATACCTACCTCCCACCCAAGGCCTGGAAGATCGAGCCTCTCTTCCCTATCGTCCAACGTCCTGGACATTCATTAGCGGATGCGGCCTAGGTCTTATTCCCGGCTCGGATCTTGCTGCGAGTCCCTGCGTCCGTCTTGAGACTAACCAGGAGGAAGAAGGGTAAAGGAGGGAGAGGGAAAGAAATAGACGAAAGAGGAAGAAAAGAAACGAGTCACACTACCGCTATACGGGTTGGACTGTTCGACAAGTCTGCGGAATAAACGAGGGCGAACGGTGGAAAACCCGACAGGTTACTCCTGATCGTACGATTCCTCTCTCGACTTCCCGCGCATTGCCTGCCTGTCCTACTGTGTGTGCTCTTTTTTTTTTTTTTTTTTGCTGTTGTTCTTTCAGCCAACCTACGCGATGCTATGTTCAACCCATGCAGCGACGTGCGTCTGTACCTACATAGGTGGGTATCTCACGGGATATCCGCAGGAGGAGGAGGATATTTTCGGAGGCGGAATGCTTCCGACTAGGTATGCCGCCGGCTAACGTCTCTACCCATCCTTATCCACGGATAATATTGCCGATATCTGCAATCTCCCTTCGCTTGATGAATGCGGTTCCCTTTTCTCGATTTGCCCTCCCTGCTTGTCGTCCCTTCGCGGCTATTCTGCCTAACCTATAGTCGACCTCCCTTTTCGCTTTCTGTCGGGCTGGCTTACTATGGAAGTTAGGTAGCGCTCTCCCCCCTCTCTTAGAGGATGCTACGCCGCCGCTTTCTGCCGGTATTTGTTCGTGCGTGCGCTGCACTCACTACACGTAGGTATGCGCGGAGCAAGTAGACCAAGGTTGTTGCGCTGGCCTACCTGCTTGAAGACCGTCCCGTAGGTATGTTAGGTAGGTACCTAGGTAGGTAAAGTAACCTACCTACCTATGGGAGGTGGTGTTTAGGAAGTCCTGGACGCGGAGAGAGAGAGAGAGAGAGATGTAGGGAGAGAGGTGCTTTAAGACCGTCGCCATCTGCTTTTCCCTACACCTGTGTATGGGTAGGCATGTATGTATGTACCTGGGTATGTAATGGTGGTCGTCTCGCTGCTTCGCGCCATTCTCACCCGTCTCCATTCGTCCCTCCTCCACAACACCGCTATACGACAGGGGAACAAAAGGAGGAGGGGGAAAGCTATTGATCAGTCACCCCTCTTTTACATGCCTCTCTTATTACCTAGCACACTTCCGCATTCGTCTGCTTGCCTACACGTAGGTACCATGCCTACCCATTGCCATCGTCGCCATTGCCATCGTCGTCACCATCGTCACCAGTCATAAAAAATCACAAGCACCACATCGCCATTCTCATCGTCAGGTCGGGCGAAAACCGGCGAACCAGAACCTCCGTCCTAGCCCGAACCGACCTTAGGAGCGCGCGCGCAGAGTACTACCCTACCCATCCAACCCCCCCTCTACCCCTGCGAATCCAAGCCTGTAGGTAGTACTACGTAGAATATGTATGGATGTATGTACATACATATATCGTATCTACCATGTCCTCCTATTCCCAGTTGGCTTAAGCCACTTAGTTATCCTGGGTAGGCACGGAAATAGCCAGCTACTTGGGTATGCTTCGGCGTGGTCGAGCTAGCTGGGTTACATGAGCTACGCACGATATCCACACCCAAGCGCCTCTCTCTATGTAGGTATGTATGTCGGCGAGGTAGGATAGGCCATATACGTACATATATTCGCCCTCACTCCGTCTCCACGTCCATCTGGACCTACCTACACACCTTACCTTACCTTGCCCTACCCTCATAGCGAACCGACGCGGGCAAGAAAGGCAGAGAATAAACCTACACCCTCCCAGAACTCTGCGCTTAACGCACGGGTTGCCGTCGCTGCCAACGACGCCGCCTGTCGATTGAAGATTGCAACATCGCAGAATTTGCGCGCCTGTGCATGTGCGTGTATACGCGCATCACCCCCTCTCCCTACATCTCCCTCCTCCTACTTCACCTCGACCATTTACACAGTATACACAGTCGACGATTGTGGAAACGGGGTGGTAAGGGAAAAAAAAACCCAAAACCAACAAGGAGAGATAGGAATCACAGCGAACCGAAGACGAATCAGCAGAGTGGGATTATGGGCAGTTGGCATTACAGTGTGGGATCGCACTAGGTATACTTACGCTACGCCACTACGCCCGCCCGTCTGATCGATCGATCGACTAGTCGCCACTTTTGTCATTTCCCAAGAACCTAACGCTCCTCTCGCTGCGTTTGGACGTCGTCGGCGGGCCTTTTACCCGCTTACTCCGCCTCTCCGGGGAGCCTTGATGACTTACACCACTCACACCACCACCTGCTTGCCTCAGCACCCTCGTCTCGATCCACGGAGGCCCACGACCGGCCGTGAACGTGGCGTACTTCTCCGAAGACGGCGTCGCTGCTCCTCCTGCACCGCCGCTTATCCCGTCGTGCCGTTGCCGCGCACAGTTCGGGACTGACATCGGTCTCTCGGAGGGAACCAAAGTTCCGTCGGACAATATCGATTCGCTCTCGCCCACCCCTTAGTACTTGCTGCGCTTCCTCTTCCCGCCACTAGTCCTGGCGGGCGGCGATATTAATAAGACCCTCGACCCACGCGACGAAGACGACGTCCTGCCGCGAGCACGCCCCCGGCGCGGCTCCTCGTCGTCATCTCTCGCGAAAAGGCGATACCAAAGAGAGACGCCGGTCAGCCTAAGCTTACGCGATCATGACACACTTCCCGACCTGATCCGACTCTTACTCTTTTTTGCCCACCCCCTTTCACTTCCTCTACCCTACCCACGCCGTACAGATACGCGCACGGAGGGGTGTCGAAGATATTCTGGAAGGGCTACGTTAAAAAGGAAGAGGAAGAAAAGAAGAACAAGTTTACTTAGTATCTTCGTACACCAAACCTAGTTGGCTTAGCCTATACCTGATAGACAGGGGCAGGGTTACTATGGTCGTCGGGCTGGACGCGCACCAGACGTCCCTGGAGCCCTTTGGATTATGGACAGCCCGCCACGCTCACCCGGATGATGCGGGCCTTAGCGCTGGTAGGGCGCGCTACTTCCGCCTCGGCGTGACGGCTCCCACTTCGCCACCACCGAGCGTTATCCGCGCCTTGAAAACTGGGGGGAGTAGCGGCGGTAATGGTGGTAGCGGAGACGGCGCGGATCGTGAGGCTCTTAGTTCCGGCCTTGCGAAGATCCAAGTAGAGCTTCACTCGTGTCAGGCCTCGCCCATCAATGGACCGCGGCCGAGACCGAGAAAGTCTGACTCTGCTCCCGTGTTTCCGCAGTCAGAGGATATCGGCCAGGATGAAAAGGAAGCCAATGCGCTCTCCACTGTGGGACAAACCGAGGGAATAGTCTTCTGCTTTCCCCGCGAGCCAGTTGAGTCACCAGTCCTTTTCCGAGCGACCAAGCGGCTGAGGCCGCTACATGACGTCGACGGGCCGTGGACTAGCGGGTTATCATGCAAGAAGCGGCGGTTGCGGCTGCATCTTGTAACGAGCCGTCTTTCGCTCCCATTTTCCTTACCCGCAACGCACATCTTGAACCGTGAAAGCGGCGAGGACACGCCGGTGCTCAGTCGATTTCTTAAGCTCGCGGCGTTGGGGGCTAAGAAGGCCGGGCACCAGAGCGGGCTCATCCGGAAGGCCGCCGTCTTGAACCGAGTAAGGATAAGTGTGAGACAGGCGGCCGTGCTGAGAGGGCATACTGTGTTGGCGGGTATGGCTGCTAGAGGAAACTTGCTCAGCCATGGTTTGCAAGTAGTGACATCCAGTTCGACGGGGGCGAGATTCCCCGGTCGTTCGCCCCCTCACGATTATCAGATGCCGTCGGCGTGGCGGCCGCACACGACAGAATTCCGCCCGCCTTGTACCATCACGAACCTCATGGCCCAGGGAAGTTCTCCGGATGGGCCAGGTCATTTGGATAACGATGTCTCCGTGCCGATGCCGACTTCCTCACCTCTGTTACCTGGCCTGGATGTAATTGCTAACCCAGTCCACCTGCCGCTGCACGAAGAGGACGAGGACGATGTCGCGTTCCCCTCGCCGGACCTCGATACGAGGTATGCTGATCTCTCGGATGACGACTTGGGCGATGTATATGCGGATTTTGGGGCGATATTCGGTTCCGCTACGCGGTCCCCTGAAAGCGGTAGTGGTGAATCCGGCGGCGATGAGCACTTCTACGAGGAGTACCTGGATGAGCTGGACGGGATACGGTGGATGGCATAGGCTAGGGGCGAATGCCTACCTCGCTAATCCGTGGGACTACCAGGGACGCCGGGTATATGCAGGACCGGATGCTAGAAATGTGGTGCGGAATTATTGCGCGACGGGAAACATCAAAGTCACCTCGAGGGAGTTCTGGCTCCGTGTATGGACCTAGGCATGTGGATATCTACCGCAGCCTCTCCGGCAACCCAGAGAAACGCTTAGCACCAAAGCAGCCACCGTAATCTAGGTTGCGTAGTGACACGGAATCTGACGCTTTGTTACCTTCCTACATCATCATAGGTTGACATCAGGGCAGGCCGTCTTTTAATTAGTAAGAACTCGAAACTTGCTTGCGCGATCCAGAGCGATGTTCACTATCGCCTGGGAGGGGTGGGGGAGGGAAACCCGAGCTCGTCAGCATAACTAGTCGCGGATCTCACACCATAAATAAACAGTGCTGGAACTGGCTCCAACATACCTGGATAGCTTCTTTTTCCTCGGCAGCGATATCACCACGATCAATACGCTCTCGCATATCCTGCATTATGGTATCCCGGCTCCGGCCGTTCACGAACACCACGTACCGCAACCCCGGGAAGCGTGCCTCGTACTCCTCATTGAGCACCTGAAGCCTGGCCGCCTCTTCCTCTTTGGAGCTGCCTGGTGGCGCAGGGACGTTCAGATGCGCCTGCTCGGCCTGGCTTTGCGCGCTCTCGACCTTCCTCGCGCCTAGTCGGGGATGTGACCCCAGGATCCCGTGAAGTTTGGCCCGTTTCTCCGGCGTTGTTGGAGATTGGGTGAGTTGAGATACGGTGGATCCGATATATTCGATGAGGGAGGCGTACGAAGCTAAGGGGAGATTGGGATCGCGGATCTTCGGGATAACCAGGGAATGGATTTCGGGAGATGGTTCGAAGAGGACGTCGAGTACGGACTTGAGCGTGCCGTCATCGACTGCACGAAGGGAGGAGATGGGTGGTAGAGATGCTAGAGCTGCCATGACGCCCGAGGGAAGGGCGGTACAAGGAACCAAAAATATAGCGGAGAAGACAGAAGAGAAGCCCGATGCTATAGAAACATTGCCTATAATGAAACGCAGCACTCGTAAGCTGGCTAAGCGATTGATCCTTTGACTCGAGGTTGTGATTTTGGGTATTTCGAGTAGTAGGTACTTACCTACCTACCTTAGGAGGTACCTAATGAAATATCATGGAGACTGGCGCTAGGATGTATTGACTAGGTACGTACTAAAAGACCTTATCGATACCATACCTTTAGGTAGAACTCACAAAGATTAGGAACCTTGACCGCTGGGTATCGATAAGGATAAGGATATTCCCAGCCGGTATATGTGGTGGAACAAATATGGACCGGGTTTTGCGTATCAGGGAACAGGGGGGGAAGGGGGGGGGGGGGGAGTCAACTTAGCATTGCAGGTTTATTTTTCTTCAATCCAATCAATCATTTATGAAGTCAACAATCCTCTGCGCGACAGTATTGCGAAGCTACCCCCAACTCGAAGCCAACCTTTTTGAAGTTTCGTTTGGTCCGGGCCTGGCAACTCCACACACCCAATGCCATCGCCGGTCATTTAAGGCTTACCCATGATGCTGTGCTCACGTGGGTTTCCCCTGTTTACCGCCTATGCTCCTCAAAGCTAAACATCAAGTAGTTTCCGGTGAAGCTCCCGAAGAGCCCGTCGTCTCGAAGCTGTCAGGTATGTCTGATCAGCGGCCGTCTCTCCCTGTACGCCTCCAAGCCAGCTAATTCGCACCAGGCGCTGTCTTTGAGAAACGCCTGATCGAGAGGTACGTAGAGGAACATGGGAAGGACCCGGTGAGCGGCCAAGACCTCACACTAGACGATCTTATTCCTATCAAATCTGCTCGAATCGTCCGACCCCGACCTCCCACTCTCACGTCCATACCTGCCCTCCTGTCGACCTTCCAGAACGAGTGGGATGCGCTCGCGCTAGAGACCTACAACCTGAGGGAGCAGCTGACGCGAACGCGCGAGGAGCTTGCGACCTCTCTTTATCAGCACGACGCTGCCGTCCGGGTCATCGCGAGGCTGACAAAGGAGCGGGACGAAGCTCGGGATGCATTGTCAAAGGTGACAATATCGGGAGGTGGCGGAGCCAACGGGGATGCCATGGCCATCGATGCCGAAGCCCTACCCGAGGAGTTAGCTACTAAGGTGGATGAGACACAAGCAAAGTTCGTGTCATCGCTACCCCCAGCTACTCAGTGCGCTAATACGTCGATAGACTGTCTACGAGCCGGAAAAAGCGGCCGATTCCCGAAGGATGGGCAACTGGGGAGGACATCGCCTCATTCACCATCGACACCACGAACCCTCTGCCCGTTCCTCTGGCCACGACGGTTAGTATCGAAGGCGGTTATGCGGCAATTGGCGGGCTGCAGGGCCATGTTGTCATCTACTCGATCGAATCGGACAACGTAGAGCGTTCGCTGCAAGTCGACGAGCCTGTGACCGACTCGATATGGGACGGTTCGAAGGTCATCCTCTCAACCTCAAAGGGCTCGGTGAAGGTCTTCGAAAATGGCACCGAAGTCGCATCCTTCTCCGAGCATGCTGGACCGGCTACCGGTTTGTCGATCCACCCAAGCAAGGAAATCCTAGCGTCTATCGGCTCGGACAAGAGCTTTGTTTTCTACGACCTGACCAAGCTGCAGCGCGTCACGCGCGTATACACCAATTCCGGTACGTTTGCGGTCCCAGGTATAGGACAACTCGCAGGGCATTTTTGCTAACTGTACCTTAGCTTTAACGGCCTGTGCATTCCACCCGGATGGCCATCTCTTTGCTGCTGGCACGAACTCGGGCGAGATCAAGCTTTTCATGACAAAGACCGGAGAGGAAGCTGCTTCGTTCCCCCTGGGGGCTCCGGTACAAGCCGTTGTCTTCTCCGAGAATGGATTCTGGTTTGCCGCCACTGCAAAGGGGCAGACTACGGTGACTGTATTCGACCTGCGCAAGGAGGGTGAAGCTGCACAGGCTAAGGTGCTGGATATCGGCAGCACGGTTCAGAGTCTAGCATGGGACTACTCGCAGCAGTTCCTGGCGACCGGCGGGCCAACTGGGGTGACAGTGCAGCAGTATAACAAGAGCTCGAAGTCGTGGTCCGAGCCACTGCGAGTAGCAGCCAGCGCTGTGGACGTGAAATGGGCCTTGAATGCGAATAGGCTTATAACGGTGAACGGGGATGGCGTGGTTAGTATTCTGGCTACTAAGGAGGAGTCGTGATGTGCGTGGAATCCTGGCGTTCGTGGGACCGTACCCGGTCGATACGGACAGGGAACAGGAGTGGGACTCGATCGGGTGCTTCGACGATGAAGATTCATTATTTGGCCGAGAGAGCCACGAGGGCTACCGGGATTCTGAGATTTGCCGACGGATACTAAAAAGCAGTGAGGGGTGGATGGCAACTGATAATAATAACATATCCGTATGAACTTCATGACCTGCTCCCTCCGTCCGAAGTACCGTGGAGGAGAACAACTCATGTCTAGATAGGGACCTCTAGGAGGTGGTGAGAGAAGGATTACTCGTTTAATACTACGCGCAGTGCATATCGCGGGTAACAGTAACAGCAACGAGCAGCACTTGGGATAGAATTCGGGGTTCCGGTATTCAGGTGTAGGCCGATTACTTCCAAGTGGCAATATAGTGGAGGATGAAATTCTTACCTCCTAAGACACCTAGGAGGTGCCTGTAAAGGTAAGTACCTACCCTAACATTTAGGTACCCGATGTGCCTGAATCAGGAGATGTAGGTTACCTAGACGCGGCCTTCTAGTCAGACAACAACAACCAGGTAGGTACCTCTTATCGACCCCTGGCTAAATTTCGGGTACCTGGTACTGAATCCTTGTGTGTACATATTATGTATTATGTTGCATGCGTCCTATTCTCCCTCCTACACACTTCCATTTGGCCTCCTACACAACTCTCTCCGTCTCACCACTATTGCATTCTTTGCCCCTTCGCCCTCTTTCCCTTTCTTTCAGCTTCTCCTGAAAAGCCCAGCCGGCTCTTGCAAACAGCTGCTCACGCGCGCGCGCACATCCGTTTGGGTGTGTTCGAGACCGCATCACCACCACCGCCCCTCCCAATCCTTTATAATCCCCTCTCGCCACTGTGCTGCCAACGCGTCCGCCCATATATAATTGACTCCAAATAACGCTGGGCGATTTTGGCCAGCTGGCTAGTCAATCAGAAGATGGGAGCGAAGCACTGATCGCAAATACGTGCGCTCTATCCAGGTCTCATGAGCCCAAGTTAGTCGTGTAGGTACGTCGCGCTGCTCGCACAGGTCGGGTTTGCATCGCAGCCTGGGCTTCTTGGGATCTACACACATCTCGCCGTTTAGCTTGGGCTTCGGCCCCTATGGTGGCCCCAGCGGCGTGTATTATGGAAGAAGTTGCAAATTCCGATTCACCTGGTCCCTGGTCACCTAGTCCACCTGGCTCTGCTCCTTACCCTGCTTCTTCGGCGGTTAGCACCGCCAGCTCCCCAGAGTATAACGAGAGTGAATTTTCCGATACCTCCCAAGGCTCTCAACAGCACAGCCCTGAGCTAAGTAGTAGCTCTGCATCTATAGCGACATTCTCTCGTACCCTATCTTCTATGTCGTCTAGCGACGCAGAGACCTTTCTAGACCTTCTCACCCGACACTACGCCAACGACCATCACTTTCCTGGCGTAGACGCTGGAGGGGTTAACGACCTGTTAATCAGCTCCTACGATCCCGACCTCGATCACGAATCTGGCGACCTCGGTATGTTTAACGGTTACGATTCGGATGAAGAAAGCCTGTTCGTTCGAGACCACACGGGCCGTGGGGTCGGTGGCAACAATATCGATTTGGCCGGCTCTAGAAATAGCACTAGGGCGCCTAGTATAAACGCCTGGGACGAGAGTTCGGTAGAGAGCCTTTTCGAGCACAACCAGTTTCCAGCAGGAATGAACCGCACCAGACAAGCTGCACCCCGGCGCGATGAGTTGGTAGAAATGGAGATGGAGGACCGAAGAAGCCCCGGGATTCGACAGAGACAGCAGAGGCAACGGCCGCTTAGGGCTCAGCCGGACGTGATTGATCTGACAGGCGACGACGGAGGGCCCTCGAGTCCTGTTCAACCCATCCCTCGACGTGTCTTCCAGAGTGCGCTCCGACGACGCTCACAACAGCGAAGCACCCCTCCGAGACTAGCCCGTAGCGACACCAGTTACGTAGGAGCTCGCGAGGTTATCGACCTCATCTCCGATTCGGACGACGGATCTGCCCCGGCAACAGCTGCGAGGAGAAACCCAGGTGCTGTCAGGCGCGTGGGAAGTCATCGCCGGTCACTCGAGAGGGCGTCAGAACTACGAGACCGTATTCTACGAAACCCTCCCGACCTGGCCGACTTAGAGCCGCGTCCACGACTACCACAACCACAAATACCACCGCAGCTACCACAACCAGAATTCACCAGCTTAACCAACCGTAACCCTTTCCATCATATCCAACACTTCATCCACAACTTTCCCATATTCCGACTCATCAATAACCCCACAGCTATGGGAGATAACCACGACGACGAAATCGTCATGCTCGGTCATCACAACCTTCTACCCGCGGCACTGCCACCAGCCAACCTCCCCCCAGTTCACCTTGATTATATCGCCCATCCTTTCGCGCCCCCCCCTGCATCTGCCGGCCCTTCCGCAAAGCCCGCTCATGAGCCTCCGAAGGAAACTCGACCAGGCTTCACGAGAAATACGGGCGAGGACGTAGTTGCCATATGCCCTAGCTGCGACCAAGAGCTAGCCTACGATCCAGATGGCGATGGAGGCGACCCAGCTACTCCGGCTAAGAAGCATCGCACCAAGAAAGACAAGGCAGAGCATCACTTCTGGGCCGTCAAAGCTTGCGGACATGTGAGTATTCGTATTTTCACAGCCATGCACTCTTTTTCTTTTCTTTTCTTTTTCTTTGGCTGGTTATTAGGTTTGTGGTATTGACATCGTTTCTAGGTTTATTGTAAGAAATGCTTCGACAACCGCAAGCCCGTTGGGAAGAACCCGATTGTCGTGGGCTTCAAGCCGGACCCTAAAGGCACCAAGAATAAGGTACTCTGCGCCGTCGAGGATTGCAGCTCAGATGTAAGCTCGAAAACCAGTTGGGTTGGCATCTTCATGTGATACGACCCGAGGGAGGGCATGAGATCATCGGCTGGACACACTCACGATATCATGCCTCGTTTTTTTCTTATCCTTTTTTTCCGGCATTGACGCATGGCGACATGGCATCTACACGTTCGCAGCAGGGGATAGTGGTTCGGAAAAGGGCTACGTAGAATGTGGACGTCGCGTTGTTTATGCTCGGTTATGATGGCCTCGGCGTTACTATTATCGATGGAAATACCCCAGATGACCAACAGCCAGGGCTGGGTGCATATGGGACTTGCGATGATGGGCCCGGCTCATACGCACACATACTATTACTAGATGCGGCCGTTTCTTCTATCAGATAGTAGAACACAAGCACGGGTATCAACGATGGGTTTGCGTGTGCAGTGGCATATGTTAAAATCTTTCTTCTAGTTTGTTTCCCGTCGGCTGCTGTCCAGTTAGTCGGGGCTGTAAATGATAGGGGGCGTAACTCGCCCCGAGCTCCCTTCGACGGCCCCCTATCTATCTGTCTACCGACTGGCCACCTCTTATCTGCCCGACGTCTATACAGATCTCATCATGCAGGTACACGATCCCCGATGAAATATCCGACTAGGCAGTATGAGACCAGCCTCGAAGCAGAGGAGAGAGGCAGGGAGCTCTCTCACCCCGACACCGACATCCCCCACTGCGCCATCCAGTTGCCGAGCCAGACCCCATCCAGAGGCGCGAGGGCCCGGAGTGTCGGGCTTGCGTGCTCCGAGCGCTTCGAGGGAAGGTATCTGGCGTCGCCGTCGCAGTCGGGGCTGGCACCTCGACCCTTCCTCGCCGTGAAGGCGGCAGACGGAGCGAAGGCCGAGGCCGAAGTCGAGGTGTAAAAATCGAGCAGCCGCAGCGCTGGCACGTACGCGACCTCGTCGGCCCAACGGCCGCTGTGCTCGGCGGCGTCGGCACGCTTGCGGAGGCGGCAGAGCCAAGTTTCAAAGGGGACGGGGAGGATGCGTGGGGACTCGACGCCTTCCCCCTCGTTGTTCCTGTCGAACCGACGGACAGGATGGACGTTGTGGGCGGAGGGGGGATGTGTAGAGAGGTGCGCATACGCGGTGGCCAGAGCGGGCGCGACGTCCGCGGCCCAGGAGGTAGCGCGGGGATGCACAACGTGGAAGGTCTGGGTGCGGCGGAGTGGTAGTGTTCTGGCCGGGCTTATTTCTTCACCTTCCGAGTCAGAGTCGGAGTCGGAGTCGTGGTAACAGGTGGAGGTTAGTGGAGCGGAAGGAGAGGAGGATGCAGAGCGAAGGATCTCAATGAGGACTTTGGACAGCTTATCCACGGGGATCCAGTCGACGCGCTCGCGCGCCGGGAAGGTCGACGGATAGACACCGAGAGCGGGTGAGGAGACCATGATCTTGTTGCCCAAACTCAACGTCAGCGAGGTACCCCCCGAGGACCTTGCTGGTGAAATGGGAAGCAGGAAGGGGGGGGTAAACGTACCGAGGGGATGTACTCGTGCTTGCTCCACAACCCCTGGCGCCTCTCAACGGGCCCGGCGACGATGCCGACGCGACAGCAGGCGGAGCGGACACCCGAAATGGTGGCTGCGCGGTCCAGCAGGCACTCGGACACCAGCTTAGATTCTCCGTAACCCATACGCGCCGCGGCGCGGAGGTCGGTGATGGGGGCTTCCGGAACGGCCGTATGCTGCTCGTCTTCCTTCCCATCCTTCGCTATAATAGCGGAGGGAAGAGCAGAGGAGGGTGCTGAGGAACTTTTCTTCCACTCCCCGACTGACGACACACTCGACACGAACAGCACGAAGGCGTCGCGGTCAGACTCAGCTGCCAAGCAGGCCAGGTTCCGGACCCCGGCGACGTACGGCTCGAAGAGGGAGAGCGGCCAGTGGAAGTTGACTGGCCATTGGTTATCTGCGGCGTTAGGGGGGTTCATCTTGTTAGCTATCTACCCGTTCGCCGTGATCACGGACTAAAGGTTATGGAGAAAAGGGGGAATGTGGCTGGGCGGCTCACGAATGATATGCGTGACGGACCGGCGTAGCCAGGCGTACACCTCGTCGGCGAGCCCGAGCTGCGGCTTCGAAAGGTCCGCCTGTAGGAACTCCACGCGGTCGCGATCGTCGAGCGGGCTGAGCCCGCGCCTGGGACCTGCGCATGCGTGCCGCGCTGCCGCGTCCGCGCTGCGATCTAGGCACACGATCTGCGCCACGTCCGCGTCGTTGTATAGTTCGTCCAGGATGTATGAGCCCAGCGACCCGGTGCTGCCAGTCAGGAGGACGACTGACCTTTCGCCCCCCTCGCTGTTGTCGCTGTTGTCTCTGTCGTCGGTGTCGACAGATGCTGCTGCTTGCGCGTTGTGACGTCTACGAGATTCCAGTCCGGGTAGCGTTTTCGCATACTTGTCGAGGAGCGACTGCATTCTCTCTACCCGCCCGGCGTCTCCGTCTTCCTCCTCGCTGTCGCTGGCGCCGCCGTCGTTTTCCCCCATCACGCTCCCGTCATCGCTGGTGCCGGTGCTGGTACCCCCCTGGGCTTGCTCTTCGGTGGCGTACCCGCTGTCGAGGTCACCCGCCGCGCCGGTGATCTCGTATACAGCGGCGGCGAGCTGGTCGAGCGTTGGATTTGCGTACACGAGCTTGGGGGATATGACATCCTTACGCGCGAGCCGCGCCGCGTTCGGGCGATAGCTGCCCGCAGGAAACGACGGTGGTAGAAGTACCGTGTCGGCGCCTCGCTGTATCCGTAGCCGCAGCTCCCGCGCGATGCGGATCACATGCAGCGAGTCGAGACCGTGTCGGAAGAAGACATCGGAGCCCCGCAGTGACCGCACGCCGCTGATCTCTCCCACGAGCGCGCCGAGCCACTGGCGAATGCTGGGGTGGCAGCTGAAGTCGACGGGCGGGAGGGCGACAATGTCGGACGTGGTAATGGCGTCCGTCCCGTCCTTTTTGGAGCTAACGTCGAAGCCGCCGACCCCGTCCTCGGCACCTTCGTACAGGGCTTCGATATCGGCCTCGTAGTAGGCATACGTGCGGTGACGCTGGATCTTGCCCTGTCCCAGGTAATGCACAGGACGTGTTGGGTCCGAGAATAGCACATGGTGCTGGTCGAGCTGCCCGTGGGCCGGAGCATGCTGGTTCGCCTCAGCGATCACCGGGAGAAGTGACCGCAGGAGCGCGTGGCGCTCCGCGGTTGTCGCCGGCGGGGCCTGGCCTAGGTCGAGGAGGGCGGCGGGCTGGAATTTACCGCGACCGACTAATGGCAAGAGATGTTAACACAGTGGTCGTAAGAGGAAATACGGACGGACGCACCGATCATAGCCCCCTTGACTAAGGGGCTACTCTGCAGCGTTGCCTCCATCAGGGCCGGGGACAATTTCTCGCCGTTGCTAAGAACGATAACATCGTCCCTGCGACCCTTATATCTATAAAGAAACGGCTTCGACGGATCTGGGTGACGGGAGTAGAGGTCGCTCATGGACCATTCCTGGATTCCACGAAACGTGCTGAAGATGCCCTGATATCGGGCTAATTTCGGGTCCCGCACGAGGAACAGCTCGTACAGGTCGTCCTCATACTTCCTCATCTCGATTCCCGAGTGTGTCGGGTGCCAGTAGAAATACGCCCAGTCCTCGACGGACGGTGCTAGCCTCTGTAAACACGCCGTTTCCGTCGAGCCGAGGTTCGAGATGACCCTCGTGTGCTGCGATATCAGGTTGCCGGCTGCGTTAGATAAGGGAGCTGTAGTAAATGCCATACGTAAGTAAACGCCTCGTGTCCACACATGAGCGGGGAAGCTCGACGGGTATCGACCTACCGCCGCTAGCTACTATATATTGAAGTCTGGATATCCTCTTCAGGGACTCCCGGTCTTGGCTGAGCTCTTCATATAGAGACGGCGCTCCTAGTGATGCATCTACATTGGCATACTTATGCATATCGTCGGTGTACGCCGAATTAGGCACGACATCCGGGTGGCCGTACACCAGGGTCACGCCAAGGAGCAGTGCCCATGTGATCGCCGAATTGAGCCCGCTTGTATGGAATAGAGGCATCGAGGTGTAAACCCTTCGAGCTTGCTGGTAGATCTCCGTCGTCGGCACGTAACCGTCCACGTGCGGGATCGTCCTCCAAGCCTCGTATGTGCTCAGAATGCCGATCTTCCACGTTATCGGTTTAGGCAAGCCCGTGGAACCCGTGGTGTGTAGCACGAGGCACGGATCGTTGTGGGCTTCGTCGAATGTCTTGGTGTAGGGGTACCCAGGGACAGGCACATCTTCCAGCAGCTCCTCAAGCTCAGGTACGAAACCCGCACGCATGGGTCGGCTTTCAAGGATATGGCCGACCCGCGTCCCGCGAGAGCTGAGAAAAATGTGGCAACTAGAGCCCTCAAGGACGTTGAGATGGCCTTCCAGGTTGTTCCGAGGCGACACGAATAGCATCTATGGGGTGTTGTTTAATATTCTGCTCTGTAGCGCGAGTGGATGACGAACCTTGTACCGTGCCTTGATGGCAGCGAACATCAAGATGAAATACCTTATGTCGTCTTCATCCCGTTAGCTATATATACCTCAGGTAGTCGATGTGGTTATGACGAGACTCACTTGTTCCCATGTAACCAATAGTCTCAAAGCTCTGGGCTTTCCCGAGCAATGACTCAAGGTACCAGCAACCTCTATTGATCGCATTGGCAAAGCATTTGGCAGTGATATCGACGAACCCATCTTGGAGGTCCTTGGTTCTGGGGTAAGAGAATAGGATGTGATTAGGTACTTCGGCGGCGAGATCATCAGGGATAAGGTGTATCAATCGATTAGGAATCATCGAAGAGGCCTGGAAGACCTTCTGGATATCAGAACGAGGGCGTGCTTGAGACATTACTGTAGGTCATGGGGCATATAGATCCTAGTTTGCACATATATGTGTGTGTCTCCGTGCTCAGACGATAGCTTCAAGTAAACCTAAGGCATAGCTTTATACATTTCAAGGTCCATCAACCCCCTATGGATTTACGGCTCTGTCCTGATCACCGGGTTTAGCGTCATTTCTCTACTCCGGTCACTCATGATAGTTGCCATGCGATATGCACAATGTGTACGCCGACTTAAGTGTATAGTATCTAGTGACCAAGCGTGTACCTTGAAACTCGAGCTCCGACTCGAGAGAAAGAGAGACTCGGTGACTTCGACAACAATTGACCTTCGTCCCGGAATCCGGGGGGAGAAAGGCAGTGGAGAAAAGCGGACCTGACAGGAACCTTCATCCCGGAGTTCGAGATTTACGATCACCACACACGGAAATGTCCCAAACCCTATGCAAAAAGATCCGTACTGCGAAAGTCCACTTCGGATTGAGTTGAGTGGAGCTGTCGTGAGCCCAGTAAGCTTGAACTTGAGCCTCGAACCCAAGGGCAGGGGTTGGAACTCGGGCTCAGACTCCGGGGTGCGAGAGAATCCCGGAGCCTCAAGGGCGCGACACGCTGGATAGCCCTGGGCCGGAGTGAGTTGACCGACTTCACAGGTACAGGAGTCGGGGTACTTCTACGAGAGTCGGGATACGATGATAGATGCTTCTTGGATGTCGGTTGCTCCACTAGGACCCATACGACTCTTTGATTACGGCATATGCAGTAATGGTCTCGAGTCTCCCGAGATTCCTTCGGGATAGGCTCGGATAGCCGTATGCTACTGGACAATCCGGGGGAGTAATAGGCGCCCTTTGGCTTACCTTTATCACTCGCCGCCACCAGGCCGCCACGTTGGAGATATGTTTCCCGTACAACGTCGGTACGACGTCGTTAGCCGCTGTGGTGAAAGGTTAGGTGCCAGTAATAACATAAGTAGCGAGCCTTCCAAAACCAGGCTTGCATGGCCCGTGTCGGAGTGGCCCCCTGAACTGTTGGACCGTTGGAGGGGTTTGCCCGAGCTCGAATAGGAGCAAGATGAGGGATTTGGAGTCGACATGAGCGTGTCATCGAATTCGGGGAACAGGACCGGCCCAGGTTGCGTGTATTATATATAACGGCGTTTCCGGCCCAGGGTATGGCGATAAACGCCTACATCCTAGACCATCGTCACCGCCACCACTACCATCGCCGTGCCAGAAAGAGAGTCCTTCAATTATAGTATAACTCTAGCCCTATTTACTATACCATCCTACCATCATCACTGCTGTAATGTTGACAAGCGTCCTCTCTTTCACCGTAAGTCATGGCGCAAGCTCCGCTCGGCTATCGATCTCCTTCTCATAGCTGACTTCTCCCTAGCCTGAAATGGCCGAGAGGGTGACCGAATACTGCACAAATAGTTCGACTGATGTTTCAAGCAATATGAACGAACTCTGGGACTGGACCGTTCAAGAGTTCGAAGATGCGGACAAGATGTCCTCGCCACTTCAGGGATCTACCATGAAGTTTCTAGCCGGGTTGCTTCAGCCCAAAAGAAGTAAGTATATTCGCATCTGAGAACTAGTAAACCAAACTCATAGTGCCTCTCTACGAAGTTCTCGAGATCGGGTCCTACAGCGGCTATAGCGCCTTGGCTTGGCATGAAAGTACCCAGCAGACCGGAGCCGATATCGTCACATTGGAACTCGATAAGAATATGATTGCTGCTACACGCAGAACTCTCGAAAAATATGCCCTGAGCGACCGCGTGGCACTCATCGAGGGGGATGCCTCCGAGTCGCTGACGAAGCTAACCGGGTCATTCGACCTGATCTTCGTCGACGCCAACAAGGACGGGTACGAAGCATACGTCAAAACCATCCTTGACCGAAAGCTTCTATCCCCGCGCGGGTTGATCATGGCTGACAACAGTACGTATGCACGGAACCGGCGCGATGGCGTGTAATAGTGCTAGAAACGACCTGGCTCACGTACTATTGCAGTTTTTGCTCGTGGGATGACCATCTCCACAGAGAGCAACCCTGGGCTTCCGGAGAAGGTCAGAGGCTACTGGACCGACAACGGCAAGGCTCTGAGAAAGTTCAACACCTTCTGCAAGAACGACGGCCGGATCGATACCGTCCTGCTTCCTGTCTACGACGGCCTGACGCTGATCAAGTGGAAGACGTCTTAGATGGGAGCATCTCGCTAAGAGCTCCCCTCGCGGAACTGATGGGGCAGGATTTGCCGTATGGAACACGACACCTGTCTTGGATCATCAGAACCTCCTCCCCCAGGAATGTTTATTAATCTTGGAGGTCATGTGACACGGACTGTTGTGTATAGGAGGATGCGGGGAGGTACACGAGCGGATATAGCCAATATATCTTGCTTACCTCGCATAACCAGATGTAAAAGAATATGACACTAGGATGCCCTCCCGGGTGGAAGCCGTAGAACCCTGGAGTTCCGGAGCTAGATGTGCAGTGACTCCTTGTGACCGTATTGCTTGCTTGGTAGTACGTGCTTACGGCTTCTCCGCTTGTTTTGGACAGCGCCATTCTCCTTTATACTGCTATAATTGTAGGTAGAGACAGATCTCTCTCCAACGGTACGAAGTCCCTCCCCGCCTCCCCCCCTTTTCGTAAACAAAGACGGGCCAAGGGCAAACCTACGTATGACCCCATCGTCGAACTGTAGTTGGTCACTGAGAGCTGCAATGTCTGAGGTACTCCCTACCCGTTCCTTGGGCCGAGATGGCCCTAAAGTCCCAGCACTCGGATTGGGGCTCATGGGTCTTAGCTGTACGTGAGATCCTATCCTAGCATCTGTCGTAAGTCGGGGGTCTGGCGGGGTTGATCAGTTCTACGCAGCATTCTATGGTGTCCCGCCGTCGGATGAGGAGCGCTTCGCGTTCCTCGACCGTGCCCATGAGCTCGGCTGTACCCACTGGGACTCCGCGGCCTTGTACGGCGACAGCGAGGAGCTATTGGGGAAATGGTTTCGACGGACAGGGAAGCGAAAGGATGTAAGTCGTCCTAACCGCGCATGGCTCAGAGAACAACATGCACCCTCGAAGGCGATCTTGTTATTTACGCCGAGGCAGATTTTCCTGACTACCAAATTCGGCAACTGCATGACTCCGGATGGGGGTCGTGAGATACGAAACGACCCTGGGTATATTCGCAGGTCGATCACTGAGAGTCTGAGGAGGCTCCAGACCGACCATATTGATCTGTTGTATTGGTACGTCCGAGTGCCAACCTCTCTCTATCACGACCCGCGGTGTTGACGCTATTGAAAGTCACCGTATCAGCGGCGAGACTCCGATTGAACATATTATTGCCACCATGAAGGATTTCGTCGAGTAAGTGGATAGCCTCGCTGAAAGCTGTAGTCGTTAGGAAGCTGATTCCCGAAGCGCCGGCACGGTGAGGTACTTGGGGCTGAGTGAGTGCGGTGTCGACACGCTCCGGCGTGCCGTCAAAGTGCACCCAATCCACGCCTACCAGATCGAGTACAGCCCGTTTTCAAGGGACATCGAGCTCCCAGAGATCGGGTTACTCAAGACCTGCCGCGAGCTGGGAATTGCTACCGTGGCTTACTCACCCCTCGGCCGCGGAGTGCTGACGGGCCAATACAAGTCGCCAGAAGACTTTGACGAGACCGACTTTCGGAGGTCTATCCCGCGCTTCTCCCGCGAGAACTTCCATAAGAATGTGGAGCTAGTTGACATGTTACAGGGCATCGCCGCTAAGAAGGGTTGCACTTCCGGCCAGCTGTCGCTAGCCTGGCTGATGAAACAGGGAGACGACATATTCCCCATCCCCGGAACCAAGAAGATAAAGTACCTCGAGGAGAATGTTGGGGCCTGTGCGGTTTGTCTCACCGACGAGGAGGACAAGGTGATCCGGGAGGCGATTGAGAATACGGAGGTGTATGGCACGAGGGTTGCTGAGAGCCTGATGGACGCCCTTGTTAAGGACACGCCCCCTCTGACTTGAGCTCCGGAGAATTGGCAGAAGTTTTATGCCGTGAAGTAGCAAAGCAGCTGTCATAATATTTGAGTAAACATAGCCTGAGCGGAGATGATCCCTGTACCTGAACTAGTACGATTGCAACCGTACCTAGAGCTCACTCCCTCCCTTTTCCCCGGCCCGGTGATGCGTCTCTGTAGACGCGGAGAAAAGGGAGTCGTCACGAAGACTACTCGACGTATTAGTGAAATCACGTCAGACTGCGGGAGAAGACGAGGTGACGCGGATACGGGATGTACATGTGTACAGGTGGCCTGAATCTCGATCCTTCGAGGTCCCTTGTTAATTTGCTGAGTGGCTTCTGTCCTGTCGTAATCGACGAGTAGCTTATAACCTGTTCATAGCAAGTAGCCCAGGCGCTGTGGCCAGGTAGATACCGCCTCGGAACCCGAGGGACACATTGTTCGTGGGGTTTGGGAGCGTTCTGGTGTCAGCGGTGATTGCTGCTCCGCGTGATGATTGCACAGGGAGATGATGGAGCTCCGTCGTAGCGGATACCGGAGGGGCCTGCTGCCGGAGGATCTGGAGCTGGACATCTCGTGTCCAGTGGGCCCCAACCGCAGTTCCGGCTTGGAATGCCTCCGGAGTGCTCTATGGTAGCCGTCATCCTCTAGCCTTTAGGAGGGCGACTACTTCATAAGGCCATCATGCGATGAGACCTCATCTGCAAGATTTGCGGATCTTTGCAGAACAACAACCACCACTATTCATTGAAGATGGCGAACCTAACGCAAGAACGCGTACAGTGTCTGTACGACACGTTTGGAGAACTCGATGTCATCGACGATATCATTCGACATCGAGCTGCAGATGTCCCTCCTGCCCCTATTCTTGGCTACCCAAGAACGGAAGACAGTGTTGATGACTATGAAAGGTTCACCGGCCAGCAGCTCGACCGGCTTATCGATGGTGCCGTGAAGCACTTCATCCGGCTTGGCTTGAAGCCGGTAGGTTCACTGGGAGACCTTGGGGGGGCTCCCCCTATGTAGCCATGGTTGGGAGCATATTGGCTGATTTTGAGCCCATAGAACACAGGCAAGGTGGCGGCCATCCTCGCGCCGTCTAATGTGGACTTCATCGTCACATTTTTTGCCCTTAGCCGCTTAGGCTACACGGTCCTATGCCTATCACTACGCATCCCTCCAGTAGCGATCCTGAACCTCTTAAATCAGACGGATTGCGAGATCATTGTCTATGGAACCCTTCCGCATATTTCGGCCAACGTCAAAGTGGTCAGCGGCGAGAGGCGTGTTGAGCTTCTCCAAATACCAAGACGGCCCGACTATGATAACCAAGACGCAGCAGGAGAGGCGCGATTCGTCCGGGCCTTTGATCGTGCTGAGGAGCGAGGCCGCATGGCATTGATCATGCATTCGTCAGGCTCGACCGGCCTCCCTAAGGCCGTGGCACTCACTCACACAAATGTGCTTACGCACGCGATACTAGGGGCCGGATTGGATAATTTTGCCGCATTGCCGTTATACCACATGTATGGCGTGTCGACAACTCTACAGGCTATGGTATGGATAGCCCCAGATATCCGAAACCTCTGACCCATCCCTCTCTCCTGGGGTCGTCCCGGCTCTGCCGTAGTTGCACGCTTACTGCATATTTCTTGGAACTTGTGAGACCGTATAGAGAGCTGACCTACGAACAGTACAGGCGCAAAACGGCCTACCTGTTCAACACCTCGATCCCACTCACGGCAGAGAATCTCGTCGCGGCCCTTACGAAGGTGGGGGCCGACGTCGTACACGCGGTCCCGTACGCGCTGGGGCTCCTTGCTGAGCAGCCCCGCGGCATCGCGTACTTGAGATGTTGCAAGATCGTGACGTCCGCGGGGGCCCGAACACCCGATGAGCTGGGCGATCGCCTGGTGGCCGAGGGCATTAACCTGGGCGTCGTGTTTGGCACGTAGGTAGGGACCTGACCATCGGCTTTGGGAGTGAAACTGATGGAAAACTAGGACGGAGGCTGGGCTCCTTGGCGATACTATGCGGAGGGTCGACGGCGACGACTCGTGGAACTACATCCGGATATACTCCCACATCCGGAAATATATACATATGGACGTCGTCGGTGAAAACCAGTTCGAATGTGTCTACCTGAAGGGCCACCCGGGCTTATCTACGTCTAATTCGGATGATCCCGCACCGGGATCCTGGCGTTCGAAGGATGTTTTCGTGCCGCATCCAACCATCCCTGATGTCTGGAAATACGTGACACGCATCGACGATCGTATTACCCTTGTCAATGGGGAGAAAGTACTCCCGCTGCCGATCGAGGGCCGCGTGCGCGAAGACAGCTTGGTCCGGGAGGCCGTCGTCGTCGGGGTTGACCGACCCATTCCGGGGTTGCTGCTATTTAGAGCCGAAAGAGCCGATCACCTATCGGACGATGCTTTTCTAGATGCGGTCTGGCCCACGGTAGAGGATGCGAACTCCCGGGCCGAGGGCTTTTCTCAAATCACGCGCGACATGATCTGCGTCCTCTCGTCCGAGTCGGAGTACCCTCGGACGGACAAGGGTAATATCATCCGAAACCAATTATATCGCGTATTTTCGAAAGAAATCGACGAGTTATATAGCAAGCTAAACGGGGCCAGCGAGGGAAGCCTCAGGCTCGACCTTCCGGGTCTCGAGGAAGTTATCTGCGCCGCGTATAAGACCGTCACCGGTACAACGCTCGACTCGGTCGAGGTAGATTTCTACTCAGCCGGCATCGATAGCCTCAGAGCGATTCAAATACGCCGCATCTTCCAGGAGACGCTATACTTAAATGGAAAGCAGCTCGGGACAAACGTCGTCTACGACTATCGGAATGCGAAAGGGCTTGCCCAGTATCTCTTCTCGCTCAGCCAGGGAGGCGATGTCAGCCAGAACGACAGCCAGTCGCTCGTAAAGCAGTTCATAGACAAGTACTCGTCCCCTGGCGAGATAGTTCTCCTCACCGGCGCCACTGGATCGATAGGCGCACACATCTTGGCGCAGATGCTCAACAGTAGTGAATACAGTAAGGTGTACTGTCTCGTCCGAGGTTCAACCCCGATGCAGCGGATCCTCAACTCCCTCAAGCAGCGCCGTCTCGAGGTCTCGCCGTCGGGCCTGGAGAAGATCGTGGCCGTCACAGCAGACGTCTCCAAGCTGGATTTCGGGCTCGGTGGTAGTTTTATGGAACAGCTGAGGGCCGAAGTGAGGCTCATCGTTCACATCGCCTGGCCGGTTAACTTCAACATCCATCTGCACAGCTTCGAGCCGCAGCTCGCGGGATTGTACAACCTGCTTAACCTCTCAGTCTCGGTGCAGCGGCCGGAGCCGGCGCGCCTCTTCTTCTGCTCGTCGATCTCGACGGCGACCAACACGACAGGGCCCGCGATCATCCCCGACGCGGCCATCGAGGACTTCGAACAGACTGCGGGCACGGGCTACGCACAATCGAAGCTAGTCGGTGAGCACATGGTTCGCAACGCCGCACGCAGGGGGGCCAGGAGCTACGTGCTTCGCATCGGGCAGATCGTCGGCGACACGCAGAACGGCGTGTGGAACGACAATGAGTTCATCCCGTCCATGATCCGCTCAGCACTAACCCTGAAGGCTCTTCCGGTACTCGAAAGTGTACGTAGACAGATTGCCTACTCCTAATAAAAACAATGTGTACTTGCTACAGATGCTGACAGAATCCACAGCCCTGCTCGTGGCTGCCGGTGGACACGCTAGCGACCACGGTCCTACAGCTCGCCCGGACGCTCAGCTCGGCACCGCGGCCACTGGCCATAGACGCGCGAGACCCACCCATCTTCTACAACGTGGTGAATCCGCACGTGTTCTCGTGGGACGCGCTGCTAAGAGAACTCAGAGGCGTGGCGGGACTCGAGTTCGACGCGGTGCCGGTGCACGAGTGGCTCGAGGCGTTGAGGGTGAGCGCGGCGCGCGGCGACGAGGAGGTTAACCCCGCGGTGAGGCTGCTCGGGTACTTCGAGGCCGAGCTCAGCACGGCTAGCGACGAGAGCAGCAGTGGCAAGGTCCGCAGCGACTCTGCAAGAGAGAAACGCGGCGCCGTGTTCTTCGACACCGGCGCGGCGCGGCGCGACAGCACCGCGCTCAGGGTGCCGCCGCGGTGCGTCGAGGACGGGCACGTAAAGAAGTACGTAGAAGTGTGGATGGAAAAATGGGCGCGGCCGGTGAAGACGTGAGGCGTAAAACAGAGGTGACGGGCTGTTACCACTCGGGTTTGGGGTTAGAAGGATGGAACCGATATACCTAGAGAGGATAGAAATGGAAGAAATGGTGGAATCGTGTTGTGCCTCTCCTCGTACACGTTGCTTATGTAACAAATGATTCCGGTTGAGTTACATCAGCAGGGCGGCGCCATTCAAGCCCCCCAGCGCCACCCCCTTTTTATTAAATAGGTATACGTTGGATACAATTCCTATTGATTCCCTACGGTCCGATTCTTCCGGGGCTCTAACTGAACGAGACGAGAGACTTCGAAGAAAGAAGAGCTAATTACGACCCGACTGTCGTGCCAAGATGGAAATAAGTACGAAATACTTAGCGAGGGCCGGCAAGAGGTTTCAGCTATGTAACCTCATCTCACCTACCTAACATACCTATGTTACCTAATATGTTACCTAATATGTTACCTACTATGTTACCTACTTTGTTACCTACTTTGTTACCTACTTTGTTACCCAACGAGTCAAGGTGGATGTAAGAGAGAGGTATATACATGCTCATGACAAGAAGGTGTCAGGTCTAGGGATACAAGTAAACAGGACCATCGATCTATGCCGGTACAGATTGCTCCCCCCGGGTAATTGTACAGTTGGTTGCACAAAAACAAGCCACCTCCCTATTATCCGAAAACACCCACCACGCACCGCACGAGACCTGTCTTGTTGCGGGACAAAACAAAGGTGCCGCGGCGGAAAAAGACGTCTCTGAGGCAAAGGGTTGCGCGGAACTGGGGGGACTTTAGCAGTTGCCAGAAATGTCACAGGCAATCTTCTCGGCGAGTGCATCTGCAGTAGTTGGCTAGGTCAGTCGGATGTCTCCCCCCCCCCTTTCTTCTTCTTTTTTTCCCTTTCACCCCTCACTTTCTGTTTCTTCGAAGAAAGAAACGGGAGAGGGAGGGGGGAGGCTAGGGGAGGAGAAAGAAACAGCGGAAGAGAAGAGCGAGAAAGCGAGACTTACAGACAGTCGCCTGGGGATGTCCTGGTGGCAATAGCGGAAACGCAGCGGCGTCGACGACGCGCAAACCTTCGACACCGAAAACCCTAGCCTTCGTATCTACCACGGCGTGGCGATCGCCGGCGCGGCCCATGGCGCAAGTGCACGCGCCGTGGTAGATGGTATTATAAGAACGGCGGATGACGTTCTCGATCTGAGCGTCGGTCGTGACGTTGGCGCCGGGGAAGTACTCGCCGCCGACGCGGAATGGGCGCATCGTGTCGGAGCGCCAGAACTCCCGGGCGCGCTTGAAGCCGGCGACGGCAACGTCCGCGTCGGTGCGGTCGGCGAGGAAGTTCGGGTTGATATTCGGCGGCACGGCCGTGTCCGCCGACGCGATCGAGATCGTGCCGCGGGACCGCGGCGCCACGATCGACACTGCGAGCGTCGCGTAGTTGTACCCGTCGCGAGGCGCGCCGCGCCGCGAGTCCGTCTGTGCCCCGATGTAGTTGCTGAGTGTAAGGTACTCGACCTCGGGCCAATCGGCCGGGTAATATCGGTCTAGCGTCGCGACGGAGCTGTTTTGCATCCGGCTACGGTGCGGCTCGGGGACCTTCTCCCACGCTAGGACGTCAGTCGTCGGGTTCGCGTACATGCCGTCGCCGCTGTCCTCGAATAGCTTGGCCTGCTGGGCGGCGAAGGCGGGGTCCTCCAGGGCGGATAGAGTTGGCGCGTTGACGCGGTACGTGATGCCGAAGTAGACGTGGTCCTGCATCCCCTGGCCCACACCTGGCCGGTCGGCCACGACGGGGATATCCAGCTCCCTCAACGCGTCTGCCGGCCCGACGCCGGAGACCAGGAGCAGCTGCGGCGAGCCGACGAAGCCGGCTGATAGGATGACCTCGTTTCTGGCTGACAGGATATACTCGGCCCCCTGGGTATTAACGACGACACCCGTCGCACGTTTACCTTCGAAAACGATCCTCTTAGCCATGGTTAACGGATATACCATGTACTCGGGGTACTTAAGGGCTTGTCTAAGGAAGGAGGTCTCAGACGAATCTCTAACCATGGTATCGGCGTTGATAGTGAATAGGCAATATGACTGTCCCAAAAGCCTGCCGCTCTGAAACCCGTCGATGGTTGGGAAACCGATCGCCCTGAGGCCTTCGGTCGCCCACGTCGCAAAAGCTTGGGCATACCGGGAGTAGGTAACCGAGAGAGGCCCGGTGGTCTCGTCGCCGAGAGTAGACGGATCGTATCTCGGAGTCGCGTTTGCAAACCGTGCCTCGCTTGGTCCGGTAAAGTTGACGCTCTTCTCAAAGTAAGGGAGGAAGTTGTCGAATGTGTAACTGTCATCGCCGACGGCCTCGGCCCATAATCGGTATGACCCGGCGGTGCCCCTGTGGTAAGCCATATAATTTCGAGCCGAGCTTCCGCCGAGCATCCTGCCCCGAGCATAATGGATCGATTCGTTATAACCGCCCTAATATGGTCAGTATAAGCAAACGATTCCCGGCCCAATCTTCTAGTGTTATACGCACCACCTGAGGTGTAGTTACATACCCCCAATCGTTAAGGGGCTGCCAGTCGTGTTCACCCCTCGATGCGAAGAGGCCATCGAGAGCGGGTACCTGGCTAGTATTACTCGTGCTGATCTCATAAAAGGTGCCGGCCTCGATGACGGCGACGCTGCCGGCTTTCTGCTCTACTAATCTCGTGGCCAAGGTTAGGCCTGCGGTTCCACCTCCCACGACAACGTAGTCAAATGTAGCATTGTCTCCTGGGATTCCGAAGGACGACCCTAGGAGCCTCCGCGCCTGGAGACGCGGTATAGCTTTGCCACATACTGACGGGGCCAGCACAAGCGCCAAAGATGCGATCTTCGACTTGAGCACCATTTTTGGAGCAAAAAGAGACTTGCTATCCGAAAGGCCGATTGGCGACGTAAATATGGCAGAATGAGCAATCTAAGGTGATAATCTGCTTGAACGATCGACTTGAGATCTCACTTCAACACTAGACAAGACCTGTCCCTACTTTATAGGCATGCGAAACGCCCGCGTTCCTCACTTCCCATATTAATATGTATGACCCAGACCATCCGGTCAGCCTTGCTAAAGTCGTGAATCTAAAGATAGAGCTACTATTACCGCGCCGCAAGCTCAGCCGAAGATGAGGAATAAGGATATCTTACTCAAGCCTAGTAACCTTCAAGGCCTAGGAATGCCCCCAGATCCATTCGTCAGCGCCGACTAGAGCGACGCCACCAGGAACGCTACCAACGGTCAGCTGTCTTTACGGTGCCTTCACCCGCCTGACCTGATCAGTTTCAAGCCCTACGAGCCCAGCTGTTAGCGGCGGAAGAGTAAGATTCGTATGGGAAAGACGGGGATATACTTACCTACTATTACGCCCCCCCGCCCTTCTTCTCTATGCCCTAGCTCCCATGTCGTCGACTTCCCCCTACTCCTGGCTCCCATCTCAGCAGAGGGGAAGGGGGGGCAACGCTCAGGTCAGCGGCGGCGTGGGCTGGTATTGTTTTGGATCGGCATGTCTAACCCCTCGTGGTATGGCGCTCGAACCGACGCGCTGAAGCCGTGATGCTCGGGTTTCGATTCCTTAGCCTGATTATGTGTAAATTTCGATTCCATCTGGTTTACTGTGACATTCCATCTACCACTGCGATGCCACTCGTCAGCGTATTCGGGCTGAGACTCAGATCTCCCGTCGATGGCGGCGTTATAAGAATAGAAGGCATCCCGGAGGGAATAGGTGGGTTAATACAGGAGACGGATATCGTAGAGACGTATTTGAACGCGAATGTCCGCCGAAAAGGGGGTAGGGTAGTGCTCACCCATCCAACAGTATTGTCCATTACACTCCTTCAGGTCGGCTCCGCTGGTTCCTGGGCTACGTAACGGGTCAGCGCGTGGCGGCCCTCATCCCGGCTATGACGAGTCTCTGTTGAGGATTTGGGGTATTTCCCGGGATACCAGCCGTCCAGAGCTTCCATAATGCAGGGCCCATGAGCAACGTCCTACCGTGATAGGGTCAAAGTGCGGAGGTTTATTTCGCCAGTCGCTGTCAGCACGAACCCGAGGCATTTTGCTCGGATCGATATCTCCACCACATATTTCCATGCCGGGCCTCGCTCGTACAGCCCCAGCTGGAAGAAGGAACGAGAACATGATTGGAGGACACGAAATTGCAGGGCCTAAGGGCAAGACATGACTGCGACGCGTGTAACTCTAGCAAGATAGGAGAAAATGGTAGGAGAGAAAGAAAACGGGAATCAGCAGACCAAAAAAGGCGATACAATGGGATGAAAATTCCCCTCTCGTATGGGGCGATTCAGAGAGGGGGGAGGGGGGTGGGGGGGGGGCGAGATGGTGGAAAGGGGAATAGTCCTGGGGAGCATCTGTCTCTGTTGGGCCGCGTAACTAGGTTAGAAAGGCGTCGTCCTCGGAGGAGAGAGAAAGGCTAGAAATAGTGGAAAGCCTCTTAACCCGGGACGGCCTGATCTGCTCAGTATTCTACACTGCCTCTTCTCTACCACTAATTTCGAGAAGGGAAGCGACTGGCATGTCTCTGGTGCTCGTACTCCCATATAAACCCGTCCCAAAGCTGCAGGATACGCTGTTCCCCGTAGCGCAATGCAACGGAGCCCGTTAACCTGAATATTAATACAAGATACAAACTTGTCGTCACGACATTTAGAGAGCTCTTACACGTACCAAACTGCCTGATGTGTATTATGCAAGGGAGGGTAAGAACCGGAGTCTCTTTACCGACGACATCCCTCCCTCCAATACGCCGTTTTAGCGATGAAGGGATGAAGCCTCACCTCCGAGCCCATTATGTGCCTACGTGGATCCTCGATCTGTGTGGTAGATGTAGATTCCAGGTAGCGGAACAACCGCGTCAGTGCCCAAGGTGGAACAAGATCCGCCCACGTAGCACGGGGATCGGTAAGAATACATACCCCTATGTAGCCTTCACACCGATATTTGATCTCTATCCCAATAGACATGCGCCAACGACGGTAGGGGAGCCCAAGGCTAGGGGATCAGTAGGCTAGAGCGCCCACTACTGCACGTTAACAACTGCACTATTACGCAGCAGCTGGGAGAGCGAGAGAGACACGGGGGGCCGATAAACTTGAGGAAGGGTAGAGGGGGTTCAAGACACAACCCGGACACTCTATCTGGCATTATTACCTATATACCGGAGGGGATGGCGAGTGAGAGATATGTCCATATCCATTCGTGTAAGCGGTGACCCTGGGTGTCACTCGGAGGCGTTCTCACAACCAGGTACGTGGATTACCTCTTCTATACCTACCTACCTCTCCTGGGCAGGCCGGCAACCCATTCCTCAAGTTCGAGTTACGTCGGACAGATTACAGATAGAGGGGAGGGAAAAAGTAAAGCACTGCGTCGGAGCTGGACACCCTGTGATACCCCTCCAATCCTTCCAGGTTTCATAGATCAGGGCGCACTCCGTAATATGTGCGACTAAACATCGTAGACACCTAGCTAAGCCTAGACATCTTCGACCCAGGCACGCCCCTTGCCGAGTAACACCAGCGGTGCCGACACTGCCAGCACTGCCGACACTGCTAACGTGCCTACAGGTATTATGATCCACGTAGGTATGTTGAAGAGGTGCGTGCTTGCATTGCCTGCTGCTGCTGCTGCTGCTGCGGCACGTCGGCAAAGATGCCTCGGCCGACCCGACGCACATGGTGCTTATTCTGCCTATCCTGCCCAGGCCCGCCAGAGGCGAGAGAGGAGGCGAGAGAGGAGGCGGGAAGAGGGGGGAGAGACTTGGATTTTGCGATCTCGAGGTTGACGGGTGGCGGTATAGATCAGGGCCAGATGATTCGCATAGACTTGGGTATGTACCTCCAGGTACCGAGTTGGTACCCAAGGAGGTAGTTGGTATGTACCTGGACGGGCTCCTAAACGCCGGCTGGCCTCCCTCTGGCCCTTTACTTCCGAGACTGCTAACCCTAAACGCCGACGCTTGCGTCCGCAGCCTGTTTGATCTACCTGTTGCGCAGAGTATCCTTTGAGTACCTTAGGTATCTAAGGTGCTGTGCCTGTTGGGCCCTCTGATCAGCAGCCGCCGCTGTAATTTCTTACCTACCTACATAGCTAGATCTGTTCACTCGTTAGTAGTCGATTCCCACCCGCTTCTCGATTCCCCTCGTCTTCCCCTTCGTAGCCGCTCTCTGGCCGCGCGTGCGAATCGCCCAATCGGCCGAGATACCATGTTCACTACCTTTCCAGGCCCCTCTCCCACCGGATCATCCGGCATGGCATCAGGAGAATCTACCGCGGGCTCCGTTCCTCCCGGCGTCCCGCTTCCGCCGCGGCCCCGGCAGAAACGGAGTCAAGTGACGCGCGCCTGGTTCGTCAAGCCCACCAACCTGCTTTCCCTACAAAGTCTAGCGATTAGATCTCGGCCCTGCTGAGTTGATACCGTGTCGTCGTGCGTGGCTGACATCTAGCTAGCGATTGGTGTCGCGTGCACAGAATCAAGTGCGACAACAACCACCCGTGCCTCAACTGCCAGAATCGGGGAGGCCAGTGCAGCAATGATCGCGCGAGCGAGGTCCGCACGTTGCCGCACGCGTTCCGTGAGATAGAACGCCTGCGGCAGCGGAACCAAGAGCTGGAGAAGGAGCTTCGGGACGAGCGGGATCGCGCCAAGAACCAAGCCGCAGTTGAGGCTGTGGTGCAAAACTCGCAGCTTCTGACACCCCCCAGCGTGGCATTCCTGTCGCCTCCCGCCAGTGCGCCTCCGCTCGGCCCTGCGGCAGACGGCGGGGGAGGCGTCGGCGTCGCGAGCAAGAAGTACTGGGAGGGCATCTACACCAGCACGGCTCGATCCCCTGCCAAGACTTGGTACGGACCCGCGTCTCTGCTCTACTTCCTCAGCCGTCTCAACACCTTCCTCACCTCGACCCTACACCAGCATCTACCCGAGGGGTACATGCAGCCCAGCTCGGCCAGCAGATTACTCGACGGGCCCAACGCCCCCGAGGACGGGCTAGCAGGCGAGCCGAACCGGGCCCAGCCCGGTGACCCGATCATGGCCAAGGAGTGTCTGACCCCTACGCAAGAAGAGTATTTTCTCGAGTTTTATTGGCAGTCATACCATACCTCCCTCCTCATTCTCAGCGAGGACGAGTTTAAACAGCACTACAAATCGCTATGGGTGGGAGACAAAGAGAACCGCAAGCCGTCGCCGCTGGTAGACATCCTCCTCGCGCTATGCATGCAGTACGGCATGGCCCGGGGCCGGGGAAACAGTCATCAGGCACCGTGGAATGCCGATGTCGACGCTAACGACGCCACTCTCGCCGGCCGGTGGCACTATTGCCGGTGCCAGACCCTGTTAGCGAGCGAGTTAGAGAGTCCCACCCTGTCCACCGTCCAATGCAGCATACTATCGGTGATTTGGCTGTGCTGCGCTTCGTTTCAGAATATGGCCGACAGCACCTTGGCCCTCACCGCTAGGACGGCGCAGATGCTCGGCCTCCATCTGCCGCCGCCGGAGGATATGCCACGACAGGAGAAGGAGATGCGGATGCGGCTGTGGTGGTCTCTTTTTGTTCTCGAGACCAAGACGAGCATGAAGCTCGGCCGGCCGTTCCTGCTCCAACGATCGCAGGTAACCTGCGGCCTGCCCGGGGACGGGCACGAAGCTGCCACGCTCTCGGGGTCCAATTTCGCTCCGCTGGGCGATAGTACGACTTGGCTGAGTTGGAACCTGCACAACACGAAGCTCGTCCTCGCCGCCCGTACGGTCTATGCCACATTTTACGACAAGTATCCGGATCTCTTTGGCGATGGCGATTCCCAAACTATATACGAGGCACCGCTGGCCATGGAGGCGTACGCTGATTTCCTCACGACGCAGATGAAGACCGTGGAGAACTGGGCGAAAGACGTGCCCGAATCGTTAAAAACACGGCGCAAGGATCACGGCGTACCCTTTTCAACGGACCTCTCGGCGCTGGACATCGAGCAGTTCGCCCCTTTCTGGGTGCAGCGCCAACGCTTGCTCCTCGAGCTGCTGTACCACAACCTGTGTACGAACCTGTACCGGCCGTTCATCTGCTTCCGACCCGAAGCGTCCTCGCCGGAATCGCTGCCCTCCGCCGCGGAATCTTGTGCGTACAAATGCGTCAGCCACGCCACGGCTTTCACGCGCATCATGCGCCAGGTCATGTCGACGACGGATATACTCGCGGGATGGCACGAAGCCTTCCAGTGGCAGTGGAACTGCGCCATGACCCTCGTCGGGTTTGTGCTCGCGTACCCGCGGTGCGATCTGGCGCCAGCCGTGCGAGATGCCATTAACGCGTCCATCGAGGTCTTAGGGATCTTCGGCAATAGCTTCGGGATCGCCGCGAGCGCCGCGAGCCTGGTCCGGGGGCTCAACGTTACGGCCGACCACGTCGTATCGCAGGCGGGGGACAGGACGCAGCTCGTCGACGAGGCGCCGAAGGTCGAGGCTGGGAACGACTCCTCGTCGTCCATGGCGGTGATGACAGAGGGCGACCAGACCGGGATGCCGGCAGGGCCGGGCAGCGCCATGCTTCCCGAGTTCGATGAGGAAACGATCGCTGCGATGCAGGGCATCTTGGAAGGGTCGATGGACATGACGTTCGCCGTGGACGGTTATAGCAGCGCGAATATTCTGTGGCCGAGCTTGGATATGCTAGGGAAATAGACGGGGCGTTTTCTTTGGGTAGGGGGCTGGGACCTAGATCGATGTAGGATAAAGAATGAGAAGTACTAGGGGGGGGTGTAGTAAAGGCGTATCTGGATCAGTTTATATACCTACCTATCATACGGAGCCGCTCAGGACCGGCACCATACCAATATCCACGTGATAAGAGTTGGATGCCTAGAGACATAGGCGACGCCCGATTTCATGCCACCCGAGTCCACAGGCGAGGTTTCGTTTCGCGACATGCGGTGTATCACTACCACAGGTCTTTTCCGCGCTTGTTAATATCATCACAGCCGTCGTATCGTGTTACGAAGCCGACCTAGGTATGTCAAGGAGAGCTAAGAACCACTTAAAGTAGACGGCCTTATCTAGAACCGGCAAGGGTCGGCTTGTCGGGATAGGTGCTACAATTCAACATGATGATCCCGTCTCTACGTGGGAAATGAGATTATGGCGGATAGAGAGATGGAATTCATATAATATAATGCATGAATATACCTGCTTATAGGTAAGTACATTCAACAGACCCGGCTGCTTTCTAGACCCAGAAAGGGGCTCCCCGGGCAGCCACCTCCCTTTACGACAGGACGCCTAAGGTACCTATTTGGCAGACTACCAGGTAGGTATCTAAGTGCTTTGCGCTGTGTCGTCCCTATTAAGGTACTCCGCTTCGTATTGAACAGTAACTGAGGTCAGACAGAGAGCGCCAGATGAGGGTTCAATTCCGGCTGGGCGCCGGGGCCTCTCCGTTAACCTGGCCGAGTCTGGCCGAGGGCATAAGCGGAGGACATTGAGCGGAGGCTTCCGGGGTGTACCTAAGTATTGTTCAGCATCTGCTCACCAGCCAATAGGAGCTGCTCCTGCCGTCCGAATCAGGCTTAGCGTGTCAAAGGGAGGCTACAAGGGGTTTCCGGAGAGACGATAAGGGGACGCCCCGGTAACTCCGACTCACAAGCCGCCTCGATGTGTGGCCCCGAACGCATCATCTCTTCCCACCTCGACTCGGCTGGGTGCCGGACTGCCCAAGATGCGTGCAATCCTCTTCCGGCGCAGTCGGTGGGCACGACCAAACAAGGAACCACGATGACGGGAGCCCAACGTGGTTAGCCAGGGGTTCGCCGGAGCTCGGTCAAGATGACTCAACCGTCCTAACGATCGCGTTCCTCCCTGATGTCCGTATGAGTTGCGGCAACCCCTTTACGCGCTGCCGACGGAGCAGCAGCACGCCGCGCCCGGCCCATGATCGTGCGGAGGGTTCATTCACTCTTTGCGAAGCCCGGAGATCGATTTCCTGCCTCACCTTTCGTTGTTCTTCTCGGTTAACCATGCATACCTATATCTACCTCGCTTCCTCTTCGGTGTCGGTCGGTCTATTATCATCAACCACCCCACACACAACGACCGACACTCAAGAAGTCTACTGATAGCTGGCTGTGGCACCCTCTTCTGATAACTATAGATAGGCCAACTACAACCTCTGGCGTTAGCGCGTCGTCCCCCTGGTGCCGCCTAGGAACGCAGCTCCAAAGACGACGAAAAGCCAACGCCACTCGACTAGTTGTGCCGTAGCAGCGCGAAAAAATATGGACACGCACAAGAAAGAAGAGAAGCCGGTCTCGGCGCGAAGCGTCGACGCTTCTTCCCTCGAGAACCAATCCGCCAACCTGGCGACGCTGCCGAACCAGCCGAGCGGCGAGAAAGGTAATACCAGTCCGCAGGTGCGGTCCGTCCGGGGCCTGCGGTGGCTGCTAGTCTGCCTGTCGATCTTCTCGGCCAACATCCTGTTCGGGCTCGACAACACCATCGCCGCCGACATCCAGGGCGCTGTGGCGGAGACATACCATAACACGGAGCAGATGGGCTGGCTCGGCGTCGGGTTCGCGCTCGGGTCGGCCGCCGGCATTCTGCCGCTCGGCAAGGCCTACGGCATCTTCGACAACAAGTGGGTGTTCATCTCCTGCCTGCTCAACTTCGCCGCCGCGAGCGCACTCTGCGGCGGCGCTCCCAACATGAACGCCATGATCGTCGGCCGTGTCTGGGCCGGCTTCGGCGGCGCCGGCATGTACCTCGGCACACTCAACCTCTCGACCGCCCTCGCCCTTCCCAAGGAGCAGCCTCTCTACGTCGGCATCACCGGTTTCGTCTACGGCAGCGGTTGCATCCTCGGCCCTGTCGTCGGGGGGCTACTTGCTGATAGCCCCGCCACCTGGAGATGGGTATGCTCGTCTTTTCATGTCCTCGCCCTTTCCCCCCTTATTTCCCCATCCCAGATTCCGACTAGGCGTGGGATGCGACTAGTCTACTTTTACGCGAGACTCTAGCTAACGAGCCCGGTTTTGGTAGGCCTTCTACATCAACCTGGTCATCTTCGGTGCCATGGCGCCCATCTACGTGTTCCTGATCCCGTCGATCCCGCGGCGGCCGGAGATCTCGACGCTCGAGAAGATTCGGTTGATGGACTGGCTCGGCATGGCGCTCAACTCGGGCATGTACGCCTGCTTCACCGTGGCGTTCCTGTTCGGCGGTGTCCTATGGGCGTGGAACGACGGCCGGACCATTGCGCTCATCGTGCTGTTCGTCGCCTTCGCCGTCGCCTTCGCCGTCTCGCAGAAGTTCTGCCTCCTCACGACCGCCGCGAACCGGCTGTTCCCCGCCCGCTTCCTGCGCCGGCCCCAGCTCGTCCTGCTCTACATCATGATGTCGTGCTGCGGTGGCTCGAGCCTCTTCGTCGCCGTCTACTACGTCCCGCTGTACTATCTGTTCGCGCGCGGCGAGAGCGGCACCGGCGCCGCCGTCCGCCTCCTGCCGTACATCTGCTTTTACGTCGCCACCGTCCTGCTCTGCGGAATCCTCATGGCCCGCATCGGCTATCACATGGTCTGGTTCCTCGTCTCCGGGCTCCTGCTGACCGCCGGCGCCGCCGCCATGTTCACCGTCACGCAGGGCACGTCTGACTCTAATATCATCGGGTACACGGTGCTCCTCGGGCTCGGCATGACGACGAGCCAGGCGCCGTACGCGGTCGGCAACCTGCTCGTCGAGCCGGCGACCGCCGCCGACCTCATCCAGTTCATCAACATCTCGCAGGGGTCGAGTCAGCTGATCGGCCTCGCGATCTCGAGCGCCGTCTTCCAGAGTGAGGCGTTCCGTGGCCTGCAGGCCGCGCTCGGCCCGGGCTACTCGAGCGCCGACATCCAGACGGCCGTCGCCGGCTCGCGAAGCGCCGTGCTGATGGCCGCGGCGCCCGACGTGCGAGAGGCTGCCATCGCCGCCATCGTCGCCGCTATCGACAAGGTCTGGGTCCTCGTCATCGTCGGCGGCGCCCTGCATACGGTCTGCGCCGTGTTCCTGTCGCGCGAGCGGCACATCAAGCCCGTCGGCAGGGAGCCCGGTGACGAGACCGCGCCGGCCGCCATGATATTCTAGGCCCCTCTTTACGTCCCAGTGGCTTTCTTCTGAGTAACCTGCGACAGAAAGCTTTGCGGGTGGTACAAGCCACGACGAAATGTCTTTTGTAGTTTTCATATAGGTAGAGGTTAGAGAAAGATCAGCAAGAGAAGGGAGGGTGGGAGCAGAAGCGCAAAATTCTGTCGATACCTAGGTGATCGTACGAAAAGGGTGGTGCTCCGATAGCATGTAGGCGGAGGAGCTCAGGAAGATCAAGGTAATGCCAGTAACGCAACTCGGAAAATTTGGGATGAAGGTACACAGTCTCGGGGGACCAGGGCAGTTATACCGGGTTATAGAATAAGAAGCCAACGTCTGATCAAGACCACGTCTCTCGTCAGAGATAGCATTATACTATGACACGTCTACGTCTTTGGTGACACCCTATCACACCCACCCATCACCTGCCATGCGGATGCCTAAACTGAATAAGGAGCACGTATATAATATTCACAATCAGTACCCGGGGGAGCGTGAGGTTTTGCCGCATCACTATAGCAACAGCCGGTGGATAGGTAAGGGGCCAGAGTAAGGGTTATATAACAAGATAGACGCTGGTATCAGCAAGTAATGACTGAGGCTGGCTGGCTGCAGCGTATCAACTACAAAAACCGTTGGTATGCTGATACGGGACAGCTGATGGCCCTGGTCGCCGGTCACTCCAGATCCACGATGCCCCCCCCTCCCGCTCCTTGCCCCTATCCGTGGGAGCCGAACGGCCGGTTTCTGTGGAATGGCGTAGTTAGCCCACAGCCATTACTTTTGCCGCTCTGTCCTTCTGAGGCCGGGGGGAAAGGCAGGGAGGGTTCGAGTCGCCGCCGACGCATAGGACACCCACTGCGTTTACGCGCCGAAGCGAATCTTAGGGGATCTATAATATCTGGCTTGTGGAGCCTAGGGGAAGCTCCGCACGCGGACTTTGGGGAATAATTCCGTCAAGTGAACGAGGCAGAGACAAGTCTGCGTTCCGTCAGCCCCAACTCCGGATTCTCCTTTGGGAAATGAGCTCCCCAAGCTCCCCCGGGTTTAGTTCCTTGGCGCCTGACGAACCTCCCCCTCGTCCACCCACCTCGCCACTTACACGGACGGAGAGTCAGTCACATCTGCTCTGCAAGGGGGAAAAGAGAAACCGAACCAAGACAGGTCGGAGCACGGCCAGCGGCGTGGGGCGGAGCGAGTGAGGAGGCTTGAACCAAGAGAGAGACAACTAACTCCCTGGCTTGCGGAATGGAAGGAGAATCGGGCCAACCGGCGTGAGAGCAGTCGTTTGACTCAAGGAACATACATATATATATCAGTCTTGCACGAAACAGAGCTGAACTCCCTATCGTCTCCTCTTCTCAAAAAGGCTGTGTCCCCGATCTAGGTACTTCGACAACACACATCCGCACCGACCGCGTGCCAACAAGCAATACTTTCACCTCGTCAGACGCTAAATTGCCCGAAATGTCTCTCCCGAAGACCTACCGCCGCGCCATCTTCGCAGCCAAGGGCGAGCCGTTAACGATCGAAGAGACGCCGCTGACGCTGCCGTCCGCCGGTGAGCTCCTAGTCAAGGTCGAGGCGTGTGGCGTGTGCTTCAGCGATATGTTCGCGCAGATGGGCGTTATGGACGGCGGGTTCCCGCTATGCCCGGGCCACGAGATCATCGGGCGCGTCGCCGCTGTCGGGCCTACCTCGGGGTCGCTGTGGAAGGTGGGAGACCGCGTCGGTGCCGGCTGGCACGGCGGCCACGACAGCGATTGCGCTGCCTGCCAGAAAGGGTGGTTTCAGATGTGTGAGAACCAGGCTGTCAACGGCGAGACGAAGCATGGCGGGTGTAAGTTTCCCGCCCTCCCCTTTCTTCCCTTTGTCCCTGCCGTACTCTCCGATCGTGGACCACGCAGGAAGACGAATTCTTCTCCCCACAAGCGAGAGAATGTTGGTGGGAAAGAGGCGGGAGAGGAGGTAGAAGGGGGGAGGAGAGAGAAAGCAAAAATGCTGACTTCGTCTCCGCCAACAGACGGCGAGTACTGCCTCCTCCGCTCCGAAGCGACGGTCCGCGTGCCGGAGCACGTCGACGCGGCTAAATACGCGCCGATCCTGTGCGCGGGCATGACGGTGTTCAACTCGCTGCGGCACATGAACATCCCGGTGGGCGAGACGGTCGCGGTGCAGGGGCTCGGGGGGCTCGGCCACCTGGCGGTGCAGTACGCGGCGCGGATGGGGTATCGGGTGGTAGCGATCTCGCGGGGCGCGGACAAGGAGAAGTTCGCGCGGGAGCTAGGCGCGCACGCCTTCATCGACGCGAGCGGGCCGGCGGCGGACGTCGGCGACGCGCTCAAGGCGCTCGGCGGCGCGAGCCTCGCCATCGCGACGGCGCCCACGGCCGACTCGATCGCGCCGCTCGTCAAGGGCCTCGGCGTGCTCGGCAAGCTGCTCGTGCTCAGCGTGCCCGGCGACCTCACCATAAACACCGGCGTCATGCTCAAGAACGGCCTGTCTGTGCAGAGCTGGCCGTGCGGCCACGCGCGCGACTCCGAGGAGGCCATCGCTTTCACCGAACTGCAGCATATCGACTGCATGATCCAGAAGTTCCCGCTAGAGCAGGCGCAGGAGGCATTCGGTATGCTACACTCTCTCTCCACCTTTTCCATGCTTGGCCCTGTCTCCGAATATTCTCATCTGGCACCTTTTCTTTTATCACCCCGCCTCCTTATGCGTAGCCCTCCATACCCCATGTTCCCCTAAACCCTTGAAAAGGGGTAGCGAAGAAGACATGCTGACACAGACATCGAACAGAGGCCATGCTCGCAGGCACTGTCCGCTTCCGCGCCGTCATCGTGATAGAGTGAACTCGTCCTGTATATAACAGAGTGTAAAGCGGAACAGGGTGTTGGCTGGCGATATCTACCTACTACAACCGCGGGATGGATGAAGAGAACCTGCAGACTGCGCAGCCTGCGAGGTATAAAAGTGTTTTGTGATACTATATAGTAGTATGCAAGGGAATGGGTTCCCTACATAGATAGTCACCTTTAGGTATTCGGAAAAGAATCCAATAAATAACATAGGTACCAAAAAGGCCCAGTAAGCAGGCTGCAGAGCAAGTATGGCACGGAGAGAAACATAGGTTCCGTCGATATTAGAAAGGCGAGTAACAACTCATGGGGAAAAAGGCAGACGTAAATACGCTCCGCAGCCGCAGATACAGCACCTCATGTCCAGACGAAGGGAGAGAAAGGGAAAAGAGAAGACAGGAGAGGAGAAAATGGACAAAGACAGGAACGGCAGGGAAAAGGCCATACACCTGTGTTGACCGCTTACGACGAGGGACGCCAGTCCATCAAGGTCCCTCGAGGGTCACAATAGCGAAGTAATGGGGCCCGGAAATGCCTGGCCATGTTGACGGTAGCAACGGGCCAGTCGGGGTCACTCCAGGCTGCGTGGCAGACCCCCGGCACAACAACGCGAAGTCAGCTTCGAGCACACACGGTAACCTTGGGCGCTAACCTCGTGACGCCACATAGGGATGTTCTTGCTCATCAGAGCCTCCGGTATTTGCCGGCCATGCTCAGGTATTCTCTTGTTAAGGAGACGTAGGCGGGTAAGTAGAGGAGACGACGGGGATGACGAGGGGGCTAGGGGAAAGGGGGCCACCGTGAACGTCCTAGACCGTGTAGACTCCCTACTCATTTACACAACAAACAAAAGACAGACCACACTGCTCGGGCCCGGTAACCTCCCGGGGGAATAGAGCCCAAGGCGGAAACAAACAAGCAAAAATGAGGCGAACGAACTTCGAGAGGCCCCCGAGCCGAACAGCATAGCATAGCATCCATATGTATGACCGGTAGAAGAGTTTTCTTCTCCGTTTCCTATAGCGATCATGTTGCTAAATGAGTAAGGATACAAGAACCTGCAAGCAAGAACTCTTGTCTCGAACTAAAAGATCTTAGCCAGATCGCGCCGTCTATCGAACGTGTATCCTGCGCCGGACAAAAGCGCGCGTGCCGCAAACCGAGATCGTATTAGAATAGGGGGGTATTAATGTTGCGATCCTCAAAGAGCTCTCCACACATCCGCCGTCTTGTGCAAGCAAATTTCGTCACGCCATATCCTCTGGGGACAGTGACTCGCGCGGTGCGGATAGGCAGACAAGCCTCTCTACCCAAGCATAAGTAGCAACACCGACATCCCTCCCTCATCCAACCGCCGTTCCATCCTTCACCCTAGGCTTAGAGCTCGCCGGAGGTTTTCTTGCCCGCCTCGCACGGCCGCCCGTCGACTTCTCTCTCCTCACCACTCTGCTGCCTTCGCGCTGCGCTCCCCTCGCGGCCCGCGTGGGGGTCTGGGGCCTTGAGCCCGGCCATGCGGCGCTCGGCGAGGATGATGCGCGTCTCGACCTTCCGACGCATCAGCACCAGACCCGAGAGCGGGGGCCCCGGCTTTTGATCGAGTTCGTAGCGGAATTCGGCCCACGCGTCCCGCGCCATCTGGTGGCTGCCGCATAGCTTCTCGTATGCCTTGAGCACCTGGTACCGTAGCCACGTTCGGGCGCCCGGCCGTGTCTCCTCAAACGCGTTGATCTGCCCGTCCTCGAGCTTCACTTTGAGGCTTTGGAGCCAGGCGGGCCGCTTGAGGAATAGCGGCTCCTCACTCGGCAGCGGCAGGGCCCCCGACATCTGCTCGAGGCATTCGTGCTTGTCCTTTGTGAGAATCAGAACCGCCAACATGTCCTAGCTTCCTAGCACCTGTCTAGCATACCTTCTTCTCTTCCTCCGTAGCGGTCTCCCCGGCTTGATCCGCCTCGCCGGAGGATATGGGCGTGTCCTGGATCTGGCAAAAATTCTCGATAATCCGTTCTAGGCGGTCGATTTCCATCCGAAACTCAACAATAAGGGACAAGAAGCGCGGCTTCATCCTCTCCTAAAAGACGCGACAGCGCTCTTGTTCAGCCGCCGACTCAGCTTTCTCGGCGGTCAACAAGGCCATGTAACCCCATGTTTCGTCTCGGAAGGCTTTATTCTTCAAGTGTGTCTCCCACAGATCGATATATCTTCGGATGCGCCAGCCGGCGTTTGTGACTATCATATTGGCATGGCGGAGGCTCGATATCAGGGGGGCATAGTCACCGGGGCGGAGCCGGGGAGACGTCGACAGCGGCAACGCGGTGCTTCCTGTCCATGAGTGCTTCCCCGGTTCCGTCAACTGGTCGAAGGACAATCTAAAGATGATCTCATCATACTCTCGAACCAGGTCGACGAAGTCATGGATCATCAGATTCTCCCGCACTCCTTTCAAGTGCAGCGGCCGTGAGCATAGCCTGTCAGACCTTCTTGACCACTCATCACGCAGTTTCTGCACCTCCTGCAGCTTTCCTTCTTCGCTATCGATCATGCTATCGACGCTATGCAATCTTGCCCGGTAAGGGGTAACGGTTTCAGCTCGTCCATCCTCATTGGTCTCTTCTGGCGGGAACAGGCTCTTCTTGAGAGGTTCGCTTTCCGGTCTGAAGCGGTGACGAGGTCTCGGAGAGGAAGCACGAATGTCAGCTTGACTGGAGGTGGAGCTCATCTTCGGGTGGTGGGGTTCGTCGGCCTGTCATGTACGTATGGGATGGGGTGGATGCGAACGGAGTAGGGTAGGTACTGTCGAGAGGCTTCGACTGGCAAGGGGTGACAGTCGATAGATGACGTCTCGGTGATCGTTCTCTTGGCGGAGGCGAGGCGACCGACACTTGGATGTGACGCGAAACCGTGCTGGAAGAGACGGAAGAGGGGGAAAAAAGGAGGACGAGAATGGGAGAGGGAAGTATGAGCGAGTACCCTCCCAGCCAATCGGTTCTTATGGGTCCTCGGTTCTCTTCGACGGGCAACCTTTTTTTGACGTACGGCGGCATCTAGGCCTGGATGTGTTAGTGGCCGTGCTTCGTGGTAGGCAGTGACTTGGTCGGCTGGAAAGAAAATGGAACGGAAACTTGGTCGAAAGATGTTGTCTGGGGAGAGTGTACGTTGAAGCGTGTAGGTCTATCCGCTCCTAGCAAAGCGTACGTACCTGAGGCACCCGGCCACCCTTAGCACAGCAATGGTTTAAGCTCTCAGGAGGCAGGTACCTAATAAATTATAATTGGAATATCCGGCGAGGTAAACATAAGAATGCCTCCTACCTGGGTATTGATAGCTATATAAAATAGCTATTATGTGCATTCCATGCTGCCGCCTCTGTCTCCTTTCTCTGCTGCCAACCTGCCTTGGGAGGTAGTTCCGGAGCCTTCTTGCCTGGTGGTGACTAGGTACTTAGGTACCTCCTTAGCTACCTTGGGTACCCGAGGCAGTGAATGTCTGCGGATAACCCAGCCAGGTGCCTCGCAGAGCTCATAGACCGGCAGTGCTTGGCCCTATTTGTGGTTCCATGAGAGGATATCGGTCTGCCTCCTCATCACGCCCATTTTCGCTGTCTCTTGCTCTTAGCGTATGCCTTAACAACGTCTGGCGGATCAGCTGAATCGAGTGGCGAGAGGTTACCTAGACATGGCGTCCAGAACAGTTCCGGAAATTCTTCTTGTATCGTCATAGTTACCAGCCTGGAGAGTGCTTAGCATCCTAACGCACTGATGGGGATATTAGTTTAGGCAGCACCTGCTACCACGACTGCATGTAGGTGATAAAATAAGACGACAAAATAGCCTGAAAGTGCATTGTCGAATATCAGCGTAGCAAAAGGAAAAGAGGCTGCAGGTTAGCAGCTCCGTAACTAAGAACTAGGTAGGTAAGTATGGGGCATTAATAGGAATTCAGTGGCCTTTAGCTAGGTCACATGCTTAGTTTAGCCGCAGTGTCTCTTGATAGAGAGAACAACATTTAGGCACATCTATTGTCTTCGAAAGAGGCCAGGCTGGTTATCTACTGGATAAATAGATACTACGAGCGGACTGGGGCATCTAACAAACCCTGTCCTTGTTTGAAAAGGGGGTCTTTGAATTCCTGCGACCACAGTAACATAAGCCAGGATTAGCGCAAGTCATCGTAATGAGCAGTCTTCCGTGGCCTAATTGGCTAAGGCGTCCGACTGTTAATCGGGAGATTCCTGGTTCAATCCCAGGCGGAAGAGGTTAATTTTCTTTTTGTATGAGCATACTTTGTATTTAGTGAAAGCTCTATCCGTAAAGCACAACATTGGTCGCCGAAACAGCAGCTCAAATAAACAATCTTCCGTGGCCTAATTGGTTAAGGCGTCCGACTGTTAATCGGGAGATTCCTGGTTCAATCCCAGGCGGAAGAGAATCTTCCTTTTTTTTCTTGAATGACAAGTCAACTTTAGAATCGCGACCAGGAAGGGTTAAATCGTCAATTATCCGGGGTCTGTCTGGCGTCGCAATGACCTGTCGACTAACGAATCCCCGGCACCTGCACTACGGCACTCCGTAGCAACTCCTATTGGCATCTCGGAAATGGTCTCGACTTTCAGCGTACGTGTAGAGTTACCTACGTCGGAGAGAGAATGCATGCGTTTACCACTACTAACCCCACGGTGTAGGGGAAGCACAACATAGGTAATACACGCAGCAAGTCAGTAAAACAAGTCAGTAGGGGTTTTTTTGGGAGCAAGCTATTAAACACCACCAAGGTGAAAGAAAAGAGAAAAAAAGGTTGCACGGGTAATTTAGACGATCACAGCTATCCTATCAATTTATTGTCTCAATCGCCGGCATCCTTCCCTCTCCTCTCCTCTCATAATGCCACGTGCTACCCTAACCACTCTCCTCCCCCTTTGCTCATTCACCTGCCGCAGCCGGGGTTCGTACACACTGTGACCTCGTGGATGTACCGGATCTTGCCGTCCTCGACGCGGATCAAGTTGGTGCTGGGCGTGCCCTCGGGCTTGTCGGCGTCGATGAAGGGGAAGTCGTTGAAGATGCTGACGGCGCCGAGCTCCTCGTCGACCACGTAGCGGCGGTTGCCCACCGTGAACTGCTCCGGGAACGCCGGCATCGTGCATGTGTTGGCCGCCGGCGCCCGCCCGCCCGTGTACGCCCCGCCCTCGAGCCGCGCGCACGGCGTCCCGTACGGTACCGTCACGCCGCCGTCCCCCCAGCTGTCGAGGTACGCGTCGCCCGCCGCCTGGATCACCTCGCGCGCGTCGCGCCGCTCCGCCGGGATCGCGCCCCACGCCTCCTGCCGCGTCCAGTACAGGTGGCCCGTGGCGTTGAAGGCCCAGTCGCCCGTGCGCGCCACGACCGACTCGATCGCCGCGACGCGCAGCGCCCCCGCCTCCCCACCCTCCGCAAGGAGTATGCGCGTGTGGATGACACGCGGGTCCGGGTCCGACGCCGCCGTCAGCTCCGTGAAGGCCGCGCACGCCGTCGTGTCGTGGATGCTGCGGTCGAAGTCGATGGCCAGCGCCCGCCCCAGCGCCCCGTCCGCCACCGCCGTCACCTTGTCGTTCTCCAGGTAGCTCGCGTCCGCCGCGAACGCCAGCAGCCCCGGGTCGCCCGCCGCCTGCGCCTTGACGTAGGCCGCCGTGACGGCCTCGAGCTGCTCGCGGCTGCAGGCTGCGAGGGCCGGCGAGGCGAGCGCCGCGCAGGCGAGGAGGGACGGGAGGATCATGGTTCGCGTTTTGCTTCTGCTGTCTATTATTCTTGGATAATAGGTATAATCCGTTCGCCAACGCGCTGCCTTCTCTTTTTTTCCTTCCCCCCTCTATTCCGCTCCGTTCTTTTTCTAACCCGAGGAGCGATCTAGTAGGCAAGTAGGTAGAAGTTCGAGCGCTGGCGGTTCGCTCTTGCTGGGCACGCCTAGCCTGGGCTATCAGGCACGACAGCATCGAGGTGATCCCCGAGCATTTTTGTACCTCCCGTGTACGGGGCCCACGGTAGAGAGGACAGGGCGCAGCAGGACCGGCGAGGAAGCGAGGAAAGGAGGGGCTCCCGAATTTTGCCTCAGCCTGTGGCCCATTTTGGCCTATATTCCCGGCTCAAAGGCGCAGTGGGTGGCAGTTGAGTACGCGAAGGCGGAGAAATGTGAGGAATCACACTCCCGCGCAGGCGAGATGCGACTGAGAGGGAGCACTCGCCTCTCGTACTGCTGTTATGTGTCGAAACGGTCACGGCAATTTAGCCGTAAATCATCTCCCCCTTTTCCTCCCGAGTCTCGCCCGCCCCCCAAATCGTCTTGTAATTCGTGAGTATGTGCATACACGAGGGCTACCCATGATATGAATAAGTTGGGTCGGATAAGTGGTGCATATTATCTCCTCGTGTGTGGTTTGCCGTCGATGTTAAGTCCTCACGGTCCGAATCGTGGAGAGGCGGGTCCATGGCCTGATCTCATCCCCCTCGACCTACCGTCGGAGCAGCTGGGCATTAAGGGGTTTACGGTATCACGCCTCTACGACTTCTGCGGACTCTTTACTATGTAGTTAGCCAATATCAGATATCTTTTCTATATTTCCTTTCTTGTGGATACCATCTTTGATTAACCGCGTGCTTCTAGTATTGCGACATATCGTTCCTGTAGCGTAGGATGTCCCTACACAAACGCCGTGGAGGATCGATTGCTCGATTCCCCTCTTGTACACGCTATACACCGCGCTTCTTGATAGACAAGTTAAACTAGCACCTCTGGGCGTAGAAGCGGAGCGGCACCTATGGCTACGAACAAGTAATGCGAGGATACCCCTAATCGAGGCTACCAAGAACAGGTCGCTTTCTTCGTTGGTACAGATATATATTTCACCATCCAGTAGGTTACATGAGTCGTATGCGCGCATAAGCGTACCTCCTCGAGGTCGTCTAATATAGACTACTCCTACCAAAATTCTCCTCGGGATCTTGTAGTTCACTATGAAGACCCCCCATGCCACGCACAGCCGGCGCGGTCCCTCGCCGATATAACATGTGCATATGCATAGGTCATCGTTGCAACTATTCGCCGCTATAAGCTCGTAGGTATCCCTGCTGCAAGGAGCCCAACCCAACACGTAAACCACCAACGCCCAGCGGAATGATATCTATGGTGAGAATGCCATCCTGAAAAGCGACCTTCACTGTGGGAGTACAACGCTAAAATATTTCCCATAGGATGTCGTCCAGCCCAGCATCTCCGTAATCGGTTTCTTGCGATGCCGGAACTCTCTGCTCCCGTTTCCTGCCCTGTTCCCATTCCTTATTCCCCTTGTTCGGCCCCGTCGCCTTATTATTCTCTTTATTCTCCTTATTTTCCAGCAATTGCATCAGCTGCTCGTATGAGCTACGTAGCCGGCCGCGTCGTCCGGCCTCTTTATTGGAGGGGTCGTTGGTCGTATGGTTCGGGGCGGCCTTTGTGACCGAGCCCGGCAGCTGGTTCAACGGCCGGGGCCGGGGGTGGCCTTTGGCCTGACTATGGCTCTGTGGTCGGGGGGCTGAACCACCTCGTCCCGTCGAACGTGGGGTAGACGCACTAGACTTTGCGGTTGGGATATCATCGCAATCTGCTACGCTCTCTAGTAGTAGTCTGTCCAGACCGTCATCCGAAGTATCGAAGCGCTCCGGCACCCCTTGGGCCGATTGCCGAACGCAGACACCCTCCCGCGCCGTCGTCGGATTAGTCTCGGCGGATGTGTCTCTATACTGCACCTTGCGACCGCTCGAGACGAGCGATGGCTCAGGCGGCACCTGCAAGGGCGCTGCGCAGTTTTTCGCCTGTACCTTGCGAGAATCGCGCTTCCGGCGAGGCATGGAATCTAATGTGGTAGATTTGGGTGCTTCAATTGATTCGGCACTCATCCCAGGTCTATTGCATGTAGAATCGTTCTTCCGTATCGTCGCCGAGAGCGAGACCTTGTTCATGGGTGGCAAGGTAAGGGGTTTAGCCGGCCGGACGGGTTCATCCGGCACCCGCGAAGGGGGGTCTGTTCGACCATGCTTACCAACTAATCTCGCCGTAGGATTCAATTGTGACTTATTGATTCTCGGTGGGTTGAGCGAGGATGGTGATGGTGTTAATTTTACCCTCAACACGCTCTTAACAGCCTTGGGCAACGATGGATCGCGGTTCTTAGATGCGTTGAGCGAGGACGACGGTGGCGTTAATTTTGCATTTAGCACGCTCTTAACGGCCTTATGCAACGATGGGTCGCGTTTCTTAGATGCGCCGGTGAGTCGATGGCCGGGTTTCTCTTCCTTCATCAACGACGAGGATGAGGACCGGGTCTCATCTTCAAGGTCTCTAACATCCTGTGACGAGAGGACGAAGTCTTGCGTTGAGAAAAATGGCATGTCAAATGGCACCGAATTTTCCGGGGTCGGATTATTTACAATTGAAGGCAAATCGCGGTTGCTTGGCCGATTTGGTGGATTAGCCCTTTGAACAAGGCCACACTTTCTTTCCGCCTTTTTTAACGCAGTAATTCGACGATTGGAGCCTGATTTAGCTAGAACCGAACTTGGAGAGGTATTCTTACGCAGCGGCGAGCGAGCCGGACGAGGGGTCCGGAACCCCGGCGGCCCGCCGGTCGCCTCGGGGTTACTAGGCTTCGGCTCCCCGAAAAGCTCCCTTGCTTCCTGAGAAGGGGTCGGGAAGAAGTCGTCAAGGTGATTAAACACGAATAGCTGTGTGCTTGTCGGTGGGTTCTCTTCTTCCTGTGTTGTCCGTGTGGGCGCGTGGCAATGATGATGAGGGGCTTGGCCGGTCCTGGGGTTGGGATCAGCGATGCAGGGAGAGACGGGTGCCTGGGTCTGCTTCAGCAGGAAATGTGGCGGTCTCGACTCTCCAACTGTGCCGCGAGTGCGGGATTTGAATTTTGGGACTGGCGGCGGCCCCATAGGAGTTTTGGGAGACTTGAAAGGTGGTGCTGTTGAGACAAGTGGCTGGGTCATCCGGGGAGCCTTTGCTATTGGGTCTTCGATGATATCTTGCGCAGAGGCCGTTGATACAGCGTGGTTGAGGGTCGGTGCCTCGGACCCCTTGCTGCCTCCCGGATCGGTTTGGTTCGTAGCAAAAGTGTTAGGGGGTGGTCGTTGAGAAGACGGTAATGTGCCGCTCCTCGGCTTTTCCTCTTCCGTCGATATTTCGGCCACGACGGACGAGAGGTCAGGGCTTCCACGCAACACTGGTAGCGACGAGCGATTCACGTATTCATCCTTCGATAGAGTAGTCTTGCTGTCCTGAACGGATTCTTTTGATTCGAGCGTAGTTTCCACGGTATCCAACAACTCTCCGAACAATTCCTCGTGAATACATTTCTCCAGCAATGCAAGGTCGCCCCCCTTAGGATCTGGCTTCTTTGGCGTTGGACGTCTTTCGGTGGGCGCAGCTATTATCTTGGGAGAGACAGCCCGGGGGTTAAGATATCCTCGGGTTGCTGGCGGCGTTGACCGACTATCTTCGTCCTCATCCTTATTCTCCTCCCGTGCCGGAAGCTCTACCTTTTTCTTTTTATGGGGGGGTTGGGATTCCTCTTCGTCTTCAGTTGCTGAGGCACCACTGCTGGTGTCGTCCACCGTAGCGGCAGCAGGAAGACTTGTTTCCCGGCTACCCTGCCTCTTCGCATTGCCCCGGACGAACCGGGCAATGGTATCCTGCGACGGGTGGACATCGACAAGAGGCAAGCCCTTCTTCTTCTTCTCTGCGCGTTCTTGCTGCTCTTTTTCCTTCTTCCTATCACGCGCAGCCCTTGCACGCGCCTGGTTCTTCTCCTTCTCAAACTCCTTCCGGATACGATCCTGCTCGAAAAGCTCTATGCGTCGCTTCTCGGCCTTGGACAGCTTTGGGCCCGTGTTCGCTTTTCGATAGGCTTTCTTAACCTGCTTCGTGGTCATAGGCCGGTGAGAGGGCTGGGACTCGAGGGCATCGTCTCGGCAGCCGTCGATGGCAGATGGTGGATTGGGTATGATGGAGAAGGTATTCTGAACGGGAGCCATGATCTAAGCAGAGCGGACAGCACGGCTGTGGGCCTATCCTATCCTATCCATAACCGATGGGGTTGCCGGCGATTAACATGGTACGAAGGAGGAGGATTAAATCGAGTCGAATTGGCCTGTCGTAGAACGAGCATACGCTAACTTATAGAGTGGTGGGGAAGGACAACGGCAAGGCTCCTTAGTTCAGGGCGGCATCGTGGCATATACGTAGTAGTGTTGTACCGTAGCAATTATAACAGCCAAACGTCAACGAGAGAAGAGGAGAGGGGAGAGATGCCGCGCTACGCGTCTTGACCCGCGAGATGGATCGCGTCAGTAGGGTGAGAATACCGGCGAACGTGCCCGATTTTTATACGCACGGTATGATTACACTGGGTACCTACCTCACAGTGGGCGAAAGTAGAAATCTATAGGCGATTACAGTCCCAGGGTGGGCAACTACAGTGTGCTCTGCAGGGTACATGTTGTCATAAACCGGGGTACCGCCGCACCTGTATTGGGCGAATTGGTATATTCGCACCGTCTTACCAGGGCATGCCAGACGGTTTCGGTACCCTCTATAGGTACATTACAAGGTATACCCAGTACCTCGGACACGTACCTAAGCATCAATTCACCCTAACTGACAAATCTCAGGATCCTCTCTCTCTCGTCATCATCGTTCCTGGCCGGCTTTCGTATGGCAGTTATCATAAGCCAAGATCCCTCTCTATATCTAACTGAGAGGGTCTATCACGTCAAATTGTTATAGGCAAGCAGGTATATTCCCTACTAGTATCGTCGACTTGGCGTCCGGCTGCTTGCCTCCTCACCTGCACCGGGATATTCGCCGGGGTATTCGATATTCACGTGCAGCTATCTACCTATATATACATATATACGCCGCCCAAGAGGCCGTCCCTATCTATACACCTATCTAGCGACACTTAACAGAACCCGCCTGGGCAGCCGACGGTGGTGCCAAGTATGTCGCCGGAAACCCCGCCGATCTGGAGGGCCGCCCCTACGACGCCGCCTAGACCTTCGCCTGCGATGAACCCGGCGGCGACGGCGTAGCCATACAGGTCAAAGCTCTGGATTTTCCACTTCCTCCATCCCCACGCCACCAGTGCCCCAAACATAGCCGCAGTGGTGAAGACGGGATTCGGGAGCACGAACGACAGCGCGATGGCCCCCCAGTTCGGGAGGTATTGTCGGTACTTCTCCCGCCCGCCCACCAGGTAGAAGTGCCGGAACACGACCTGGACCACGCAGAATATACCCATAACGATGGAGAAAATGCCCGACGTCAGGGGAATGCTGACGTCCGGATCGGTGACAGCCTGCGCTACGGCTGCCCATGCCGCCACCGATGGAACACCGAAGGCACAGTGTTCGACCTCAGGATCGAGAATGCATGGGTAAGCGGTCGTGAAGAGGACAAACATCCCTGGCGCGAGGAAGACGGAAATGATGGTTCCCAAGCTTTGCGCGTACCACTGCTTAATGGGCGAAGTTCCTAGCAAGAAGCCAGTGCGGAAATCGCTTGTTAGCGACATGGCAACATCAGCGCCCCCCGACGCCACAACACCGGCCGTCAGGTTGATTCGCTGCGCGGTCTTGAGTGAATACCCCTTGCCTTGGGTGGCAGCACCGAAGATTAATTGACTGGCCTTCGACGCGGCGGTCAGCGGAGTCGTATCGGTAACAGCGCCGATCTGGATGGCCAAGAAGGAGAAGAGGAAACCCAGCAGGCAAGCGAGGATCGTCAAACCAGGGTTCATCCCCCATTGCAGGGCAAAGATGACCATGGCCGCTGCGATGGTGACAACGAGGCCGACACTCCACATCCACGTCGGCACCTGCTGCTCCGGCGGTGCCGGATCGTCGATAATGTTCTCGGATGCTTTCACCTCCACGGTAGCTCGCGTGGCGAAATAGTTGGAGTGTTTACCGCGCTTAACCAGGAACGTATTGACCCTAATACAAGTTTTCTGCCAGATTACTTTACCGGCATACCCGATCACCTTGTACTGCACCACTAGCTCGGCCAGCGATGTGCAAACCATAATCATAACGCCGGGCCATAGGAGCCAGTATCGCGGAGATGGCTTCTCATGGCCGAGGTTCCTGAGGGAGGCAAACGAGTACCAGTCTGCCCATCGCGGGTCGTCCTCGATCTGGCGCTTGCCAACACACTCGCCATAGTGCACGAGAGTAGGGCCGATGATTGCCCACGCGATGATCGCGCCACCGAACATGGAGAGCGCCGAGTTCATACCGATGAGGATGCCGCTGCCAATGAAGGCGGGCGTCCACTCAAACCACCAACCCCAACTCTCGATATTCATGGCCCAGCTCGTGTACCCGCTCCATATGTGAATCCATGTGAACACGTGCCAGTCGTACAGGATACCAACGGCGTAATACGACGCGACTCGCTGGACAAGGGACGCAGCAAAGGCTAAACTGAGAGCCTTGAGCTTGCTCAGGGCCTCCCGAGCACCAGCGCCGCCAGCGTGCATCGACTTGATGGTCAAGGCCACAGCGGTGGCAGTCGGAAAGACGAGATTCAATTCTCGTCCAACCTGAATGATGAAGAACTTCCGGAGGGGAGTAACGAAGAACAGGCCGAAGAAAGAGCAGACGATGGTGATGGTGATGAGCGCGCCGAAATCTCCGTTTGGCGTGCCTGTCTGGGCCTTGAGTTGGTACATCGCAGGAATACCAGAGACGAAGATTCCCGCAATGCCTCCGGCGCCGGTGGCCGCGGCCTGGATAATACTGTTCTCTTGGGGCCCGAAGCTACCGCCGATAATAGGAAGCTTGCTCTTCGAGCAGATCTTGATGATTCCGTATCCGAATATGGCGCCGAACATGGATGCCGCAAAAGTGAAACCTGTCTTCAAGCCTATAGAATGGGCTGCTGTTAGGAAGTCGTTGCTACGCCTAACCCATCGGCCGATGAAACGTACGACGGGCCAGAAACTCACCGAGATACAGATTGGAAGCATTGACCAGAGAGCCCAAGATAATGCCAATAAGGACGGATCGAATCGTTAGGGGGTCGCGCTCGTCGACTATGCCGTCTTCCATAATCAAAGGCACATACAAGTCGAGGTCCGCCTCGACCTCCTCGGCGTCGACTTTGGAGGCATCGGCTTTCCCGCCAAATTTCTCACCCACATTCCCGTCGATCTGTTTGTTGAGTGCGGGTGTCTCGACCGTATGGTCGGCCGACTCGGCCGACCGAACTTCAGTCGATGCCATGACGGTGGCTGGTGTCTTTCGATCGGCAAATAATAGCTGCACGAACCAGTGGGTAGGGGCGGTAGCTGGTCGAAACCCGGGGACGCCCAGCATCTTATAAAAGAAGGGAGGAGGGATTGGCTTCCGTGGTTCAGTGCCGCCAGTCACTTTACCATCGAAGATTGCAGATATACCTACATCATACCATGGCCAACGCGCTACCTCCCTACCCATCCCACTCACCCCCAACCAACGCCATATTCCACAGTGCTACTCAGAGATAAGGTGTGGGATGGTCATCAGGGCGGATGCGTCGTGGATCCTCCGCCAGGGTATCCCATCGATACAATGAATCTCGAACGACTGAGGAACGGGGGGAGGTAACATTCGCAAACCATATCAGGAAAACGAGGGCAGCAGCGAGTCCGTGCCGGCACGTCGCACTTACGGCGCGTACTGATTCCGTCAAGGCATGGGTGCAACTTGTTGTCTCGCTTACGCTGCAATGGAATGGAGGCGGTTCCCTACTCCTCGAGGTTTCTCAATCCGGTTTGCTATTGCGCGAGGCAGGGATCGACGGCTCCCTCTACCGCATGACTGCTTGCAGATGGCCAGCCAGAGGGGCTTCAGCTCGGTGCTGGTGGCAGTTGCGCTACCTACAGCCGACTTAGACACAGAATCGCGACCCCTACTGAGTACTAGGCGAAAAGCCGACCAACTCCCGCGGCGAGCGTATCAATTCGGCAGCCCGTGCGTGGTTCTTGTCCCGGCGAATTTGGCTGATTAGCTTCCCGCGAATGGGAAGATGCGGCTGGGCAACTGATAGGACGCCAAGTCGAAGTGGGAGAGATAAGTGACAGCAAGGGAGGCATCCTACTTCTGTCTTGCCCGCCGCCTACATGCATAACCTCCACAATAAACCATACCTCCATACATGCACGGGTGTGAGCTGGCTTCGACAACACACGACACCAGGGGTTGGCACGCTCGAAGGAGATGGTTCTAGCCAGAAAGTAATATCGTACGTGTATATATATATACATACTCGGACGGTCCGATAGCGCCGATCACAGACGAGAAATCCTGACTACCAAACAAGACTTGAGTGGGTCTGTATGAAGAGGGTAGGCCGCTGATAACCACAGCTTCGACAACAATCTAGGTATGCAAAGACCAGCTTCCATCCCCCCTCCTCCCCCCACAGATACATGCCGCCGGTTCAGCTGCCGCTCACGATGCTTCGAGAAGGTGAACGAACATGGCCAGCTACGTATCCGACCAGGGGCGACCAGTCCCAGACGAGAAGGTATTTAGGAAGACAATAACGGGCGGTTAGACCGTTGTCTATCAATGACGCCTCCGCCGCCGCCAACCAACACGACGATGATGTTTCACAGCATCGGGCACCCTGGCCAATCCGCGTACGGCCAATCCAGGTGATAAGCTAGACGAATCGTATTTCCTATCTGACGGCGTCGAGGCGTCTGCGCGCGTACATACCACAACAACACCATGTCGGGGGGGCGAAGCACGTACGCAGACCGGAGGATGTTCTCGGCCCGCGAGATTTCACGGCAGATTGAGGTCGCTCGCTCGCTCAATCCCACTGATTCCAAGCATAGAACCAGGGCAAGTCAATCACACAAAGGATGAATCAGGTTTCGAAATCTGCGGCAATCTATCCAGAGAGCGCTCGCGGGTAAGCAATCCAGTATACAAAAGTATACGTCGTGAGTGCTCGCCCCCAACGACCGGTACCCTCATTTGGCAGAAGCTTGTCCAGGTGAGAAATCAACTCTCGAACGGCATACGCATAACCAAGATACACACTCTCTCCCGCTCCCGCTCCCTCCTCCCGAGCAGCAATCAGAAAAGAATAAAATAATACAGGTCGATCTTCTCCTACCCTTCTAGACCCTGTACCGGCTAGCGCGTTCAAGTGCGTCGCCCGGGACGAGAGTTTGGGACGGGAACATCAGTGCCCAGATTATGTCGTCTACCGACGGCTAGGATTGTTATAGCATCCCTCTTTTTTTTTCTCTGTTAAACCCTACTAAGAAAGAGCGCATTCACTCCGTCCGTTCTTCCCTAGACTCGATACCACCTACACATCTTCCTCTCCTGCTCCGACGGCCCCTCCTGTGCTGCATCGAACCCCATCCTTCCCAAAAGACGTGGGCGCGGCGGTAGTTTTCACTGCGCTCTCCCAGCCGATAACACGCCGGCACCTGGACACGAGCTGAGCAAACCTCCCAGCTGGGTTCTAGCCCACGTAATCGGCACCCGGGCTAGGATTAAGTAGGTAGGTGGGTTGGCAGATTGGCAGAGTGGGCGGCCTTTATCGAACAGGGGCTGGGTCTGCCCCCGTGAATCGTCCACTCACGCTCGACATAATATCCGTCCGACTGGAGTCTCTCTACCCTTTCATATATTGCTACGTAGTAGGTAGGTGTTACAAGATATTCACACCCGCGTATGCCCCCCACCGCTGCGGTTTGTCGCGGGTGCGGCAGATGAGCCCACCAGGGGAGTATAGGAGAGGAATACCTAGTATTTACCTACATGGGCTCGCAAGAGGTGTATATAGACATGAATTGGCAGTGCCGTATGCGAGTAATGGAGCCGCTAGCTCTGGCTATAACAGTACTGCGTCCCTGGCTTCACACACACACACACACACACACACACACACACACACATACATGGACGTGCCTATATTAGAATATATACCAGCCGCTATATAGGATCAGCACGTGGTACCGAAGCCGCGGCTCCCTATCCGGCCACCGTCCCACGCAAACTCCAGCGGGCGCGACTCATCCGCGCGGCGAGGGTCCAACCTTGGCTCCCTAGTATTCGGATGGGGCCTAGGAGCTGCGGACTACACCCCGCGAGCCGGCGCGTCAGCTGCCCTCCCTTCCTCTCCCTGTGGCAGCTCTCACTTTCGGTTCCGCTGACTCGTTGCGTCCCGCTAATATGAATATCCTCGCACACACGCGCACATAACTTCAGTAGTAGATATGTGTGCTTGCTAATTAGTAGCGGGACGGAACAGAGTTAGTTCCCAGTAAAGTCAAGTCAACCGTCGGTTCAATCACCTTATAGACCCACCCAGAATGAGCATATGAATTATATTGGGTTGTTATCCGTCGTACATGATTAGAAATTAACACGCCCACTCAACATGGGGCAAGCTAAAGAGCGGGTTCCTAACCTCTTGTTCCCGTCACAGATGCCTCCCACATGATTCCAGGGTATCTCTGGGTGTATACCATTTTTGCAATTCCCCGACGCTGCCTTGGCTTATGCTTACTTCTCCCTTTTCCGCCTCTGTATCCTTTTGTATACCAATCGTCGATATTTCCAACCGGCGTCGCGGCATCTGCCGACAACGTTCATAAACTTAAGTGTGGTTGTGTTGCCAGCAGCAACCGAGCCTGGTGAGGGCTCGATACCGGGCTCGGCGGGACGACTTACCGCCTACGACCGTCCACCATCGGCCTGGTTGCCGTTCACATAGTTCCCGTTGGTGATGCCGCTGGCAGCGTGTGGTTTATGGACCACCTCCGGCGCGGAAGGGGTGTCCGTGCTCTTAGAAGCAGCGCCGATAGAAAATACAGGGCTCTCCCACCTGTCACCCTTCCGTGCCAGCTCTTTGTACTCCGTAGCCTTAGAGCTAATACCCCCCGGTAGGCGGATGTTGGGGAAGATACTGTCCTCCTTGGTGACGGTCAGGTTGACGACCTTGTCAGCCACCTTGTCCTCGGCCTTCTTCTTGCCCCGAAGCAACTGCTTCTGGGCGGCTTTAACGTAACGATTAAAGATGTTGGGGGCGTTCTCGGGATTGTGGCGAGCTCCTTCGAGAGAACGGTCGGCCTCCTTCTTGATTTGATACAGCAGCTGGTCGAATTGACTAAAGTGCTCCTTGAGCTGTTTCTCGGCAGTCTTCTGAATGACCGGGCGGAGAACCCTCAACATGATGGGCTTGAATAGAGCAAACAGAATCTTGTGCTTAGACTTGACAAGCTTGATCTCTAGGTCCGTAACGTCCACCTCGGCCTTGTCGATCTTGAAGTAGTGTTGTCTGTCCTTGTCATCCGCGGTGGACAGCTTCAGGCGGAAGCAGAACCCATCGCCGCCCATCTTTATGTGAGCAACACCCGTGTCAGTGAGGGAGGGAAATCCTCTCTTGCGCTTGACGTAGAAGCTGACGTCACGTAAGTCCATCTGGATCCCGGCGACCTTGACGTCGATCGAGTTCTTATTAACGCTGGTGAACTTCTTACGCCCCCAGCGGAAGTAGTTATCGCTATAAACCTCGAGGACGTTCGGCATAAAGTTGTCGCTCTCGAGGACGAGGTTCTCCACCACGGCGTCGATCTCGGGATCCGAGTACTCGATGCGCGGGATCGGTATGTAGGCGATCCTCTCAAAGGCAGCCGGGAGGATGACCCCCGTCAGGTCCTTGATAAGATGCGGCTTAAAGACCGCCCTGCCGTTCTCGCCGTTACCGAGGTCCTTGAAGAGCTTTTCAAGGGATGTCGCGAAAGCTTTATTTTGAGCATCCTGTTCAAACTGGTCGGCTAGGAACTTAACCTCGTCGACGACACGGTCTGTGTTGCTCTTGTACTTTTGCCTTAGTAGGTAGTTGCCGTGGTCATACAGATAGTGCCACTCTTCGTTGCAGGTATCGTCGTCCATAATGTAGCCCTGCTGTTGCAGGCATTTGCGGATGAAGCTGTCGACGGATTTGAACCAGTCCTTGAGCTCGTCATCCCTGTTTGCAGCATCATAGATGGCGTTAACGGCAGCCCATAGGTCGTCACTAGATGTCCCATTGGCGAATCGTTCGACGAGGGTCTACGGGATAGGTATTAGCTGTGTTCACGTTTTTCGAATGTCGGATGTACGAACCTTCAGATCGGCTTCAGCGGCGGCCAGACTGGATCGCGTCTCTCTAAAAGTGCTATTACCTCCCGACGCGAGCACTTGAGTGTGATGGCCGTACTGCGCGGCCAAATCGAGCAACGTAGAGATAGCTTGGTTGTAATCAGGGTGTTGCTGGCACTCGACTACCATTTTCTATTTCCATCTTAGTGCTACCATTCGCAAACAGAATCGGCGCAAGCATGCCTACCTTGAGCCTCCAGATGGTTTGGTCGCGGCGTTCCTCGGGTATTCTCTCGGATAGGTACTGTCTGGCGCGCTTATTGTACTCGGAGGCTGTTTGCTTTGCAGATTTTCGGATCTCCGGGCCCACATCGGATTCAGACTGTGTTGTAGGTCCGGCGATACTGTCCGCCGTCGACGCTTCCGACTGACCAGTGGCTTGGGCACCCGAAGCAACGGTGCCGTCTACGTCTTCGGCCGATTTTCCCTTACTAATCCCTTGAAACCTTGACTTGAACGCGCCTTTAGATAGATCGGGGGCATCATGCCACGTGTTGTCCTCGGCAGGCTGGTCGATCTGAGCAAGGTCCTCCGACGAAGGCCTCACCTTACCTGCAGCATTAGTCGCGACATCGCCAGCAATGTCGCGCAGTAAGGTGGCAGCATCCTTCACTGAAGAGGATGCATTAGTACATATTTACGAGCGCCTTTATATTATGACTACTCACGGAGCTTGCGGAACTGGCCGTTCGTGATGATCAGAGTGCCCAGAGTCCGAAGCCCCTCGAGGGCCTGGTCACCCTGCTGCCTCGCCGTGTCTTTATCTACGGGGGCATCGGGCGTGTTTATAGTCTTGGCATCGAACTGCTGGGTCTGCCAGATAAAGTCCTGGAGAAGGTTGCCCTCGTTCTTGGACAGGAGCAGCTTTTTGGCCTGGTTCACGACATCCTTGAAATCGGATACAAGTTCCTGGCCCTCCGGCGAGAGCTTCTTAGAAGGGCTTGCTAGCGCTCTCGAAGTGAGGAAGCTGTTAAGGGCGACATCGATTTGGTCGTTCTATCGCCGCGTGTTAGTCGGGACGGGATCTTGGTCATTCTCGGGGAAAGGAGCACTTACAGAGGGGGCCTTGCCGATCTGAAAGGCATTGACGATGCCGTATAGCTGAAGCTTGCGATTTACGTCGGCCTCCTTCTGCTTAACATCGGTCGGTCTATTAACGGTCGCCATGGCGGCGAGCGGGGGGAACGGGCTGTCTGGATATCTGCTCCTTGCTCGGTATGCAGCAAGGCCGTTTTCGAACAAGGCAGCGAAACTGACAGGACAGAAAGATAAGGGTTGAGGGGTATCACAAGGCGCGCGGATTATCAGTCGAAGACGATGTGGAAGCCTTGGCTAGCATGGGGAGAGGGAGAGAGAAAAGGGGCATGGATATGGGTGGAAAGGACAAAGGCGATTGATATGTTTAGCTGACGTAGGTCGGACGTGACTATGATATAATCGCAGCTACCTAAGACAGCGCGGCGTCGAGCATGAGCGCATGCAGCTACGGCATCTACCTCCCAGGGCAGCTGCGCCTTACTCATCTATGAGTAGGTCCCCTCGAGGGATGTGACTGCCCAATAATATCTCCTGACGTGGATGCCGCTAGCCGGTCTCCAGCCCCTGGCCTCGGAAGGAGAGAGAGACATGGAGCTACAGAGCGGAACGCTGCTCGCCGCCCCCTCGCGCGATGTACCTATTAGTACCTGGGTAACCCAGACGCCTGCCCTGACCCGAATGCAGCTGCCCGCTTGTAGGCGCGTAGCCCAAGGTACCTCCCAAGGTACCTAGGTAGGTAGGAGGTACTTAGGTAATAACTGGCACGCTGGAAGGTATACAAGACAGACAAACCGGAAAGAGGACACGAGATTCGCGGGGAAGGCACGCTACGTCGCGTCTTAGGGGATGATGACGTGAAAGTCTGGAGACGGCCGCGGTCGAGCTGTCCAATGGAGTACGTCATCGCCGCCCGTCTCTCCGAATGGGACGCGCCTCTCCGCCTGCGCCAGCCTGACCTCTCTGCTTCCGGTCCGACTAAGGAACAGCAACTAGGCTAGACGAGAGCGAGAGAACTTGTGCGCCCAGGCGATCAGGGAATCTCTCGGCCAATGCTACCAGAACTGGTCTCAGTCGCCGACTGCGGGAGCAGCTGAGACACGTTGCAGGGCTACAGGGAACCCGAACATCGTCTCTCTCTAATGAAAAGAAAAGCCTGCGATGTTCGCGTCAAGCTCCAACAAGGACCTTGGATCAGCCACAAATGCCAGCACCGGGCAGGCAGGCGCTTGTCTCACTCGCACGGACGCAGCCAGCCGACAGTGAGCCCTGGCCTTAGGTACTGACTTGCCTGGCTCCACCGCACTCAGACATTGGCATTGCGCCTTGTGCATGGGAATCATTCTAAGAACCTCTTGCAGGAAACTCGAACTGAAGGTCGCCCGAGACGGCTAGGTGGTACGTACGGAACAATGCAATAATATAAGCGTCGGACTCTCGAAAGTCTTCGTTTTATTCTCGCACGACGATTAAAATACAATAAAAATATAAAGAATACCTACGAATACTCGCATCAGTTCTCTCTCTCTTCCCTGTTCATCTCCACATTCGGCATGACGTCGTGCTGTCCCAGTCACCCTCCGAGCTATGATAAATAGTCTGCTGTTCGCGACACGCCGTGGCGCCTCGCGTAAGGTAAAATAAGAGGCGGCCAAATAGGCCGCTCAAAACCGGGAAGCTTCTTACACAAGAGTACCTACACAGGCACCGACTCATAGGCACGTACCTTGGTAAAAACAACTCACATCCGTCCTTCTCGACCCCTGAAATACTAACACGCTCTCGCTCGCTCGCCAACACATACCTAGGTATTCACAGCATCGCCCTAAGCGCAGATATAGGTATGTGAATGCATATCAAACATTGAACTGGTGCCACTAAGGGCTCTGCATGGTCTAGGTAGATTGAAGAAAGAAAAATGCATCTATGTACACTAAGTTCGAATTGCCGCCGTAGCGGCAACCCCGACGGTCTGCGTCGAAACGAACGCCCACTTGGTGCGCAAGTCCGGCCCGACCCGGCTCAGTCCATCGTAAAAATTAATAATAAAAATAAAAACAAAGCACATGTGCGAGAAGAACGCCGTACCCGATGCAATGCGATTCGTCTCCCTTCTTCAATCCATCAGGTTCCGTCGTATCCGTGCCCGTTTACTTCTCCTCTCCATCTCTCTCGCGCCAGGTAGCCTCCTTTCGACAGCCACCTAGATCTCCAGCACGAACTGGGGGCCGACCAGCTCCTCGGTCGCGAGCGAGAAGGGGATGAGCTCCGAGCTGGCCAGCGTCCCGGCGGGCTTCGAGTGGAGGGCGCCGGAGCTGGGGCAGCGGTGGAAGGCGACGAGGCCGGCGTCGCCGCCCTGGTTGGCGACGAAGGCGAGCGTCTGCTTCTCGTCCTTGCTCAGGCTGAACATGCGGGGGCGCAGGCCGCCGCTCGACACGGACCCGGCGAAGTCGAGCTGGCCGGCGGCGCCGAACCGGAAGTGCGCGATGCTGTCCGTCTCGTTGCCGCTGATGCGGTTCGACACGTACACGTCGCGCTGGTTGCGCGCCACCACGAGCTCCGCCGCCGCCGCCGTCGTCGCGTTGGCCGGCGGGTTGGTGCCGTACGTGCTCTGGCGCTGGATCTCGGCGAACTCGATGCGGTCGTCGGCGTACTGCAGCTCGTACAGGAAGAGCTCGTTCGAGATCTCGGTCGCGACCGCGTAGTAGTGCGTGTCGCCGCGCGTCAGGAAGCCGCCGTGCCGCGGGCCCGAGCCGGCCGGGAGCGTCGCGTTGCTCGTGATCTCGTACCGGTCGTCCTTGCTGTCGAGCACGAGCAGCGTGTCGCCGCCGAGGTTCGGGATGACGAAGAAACGGCCCGTCGGGTCGAGGATGGCCTGGTGCGGGCGGTGGGCCGCCTGGCCGGGGCTCGGCACGCCGGGGACGGGCAGCGTCTTGAGCAGCTTCAGGCTGCCGTCGTCAGCGGTGACGTCCCAGACGTCGATGGTCTCGGCGCCGTAGGCGGTGCCGACGATGCGGGTCTTGTCCGAGTTGAACTCGAGGAAGACGACACCGGACGAGCCGTTAGTAGCGGACGTGACGGTGGGGTTGTTCAGGTCAGCGCTGAGGCTGAAGAGGCTGGTGTCGTTGGCGTTCTCGTTGACGGCGTACAGGTGGGTGGGGTCCTTGTAGAGCAGCCAGCTGGGGCCGGTGCCGACAGCGGTGTGGTTTCCGGTGATGGAGAACTTCTTGCCATCGAAGTCGGCGGTGAGGACCTGGAAGGGGGCGCCGACGACGAGCTTGTGGGTGACCTGATTCTGGCGAGCCATGACTGCTGCCGATACCGAGGTGACCGAGCTCAGAGCGAGCATGAGCGTGGTGAAAGTGCGGAACATATTGCCGGTTTAGGGCTTGTTTGCTTTTGTGTTGTTCGAGTTTGCGTAAGGCGAATGAGTAATCAAAAATAGCGGAGACAAGCAGGCTTGTTACGCTGTCCGACTCAGACAGACGGCTATATATACGAGAGCAGGCGCTTGACGCGTAGGACCAGAGAGATATTCCTCTTGTTGATATCGACCTCAAAGAGAAAGGGAGTACTGTAGAGAGGGCGAGAGTCACGGACAAAGCGATTTGTAGCGAGAACCAGCGGGCGGGCGGGCGGGACAATAGATAGGATCAATAGACACAATCAACGAATGGATTGATCGGCTGATTGTTATCCTCGATGCGGGACAAAGGGGGCAGTAAAGGAAGCGTCTCTGCCCGTAGATGGCTGGGTGAGGTGAGATCGCAAAGGCAGCAAGGGCGGCGAGCTAGGAATAAGGAGGTGGATCCGTTTCTGGGTTGCCTGTCAGCTACCGGGTCACCGCATCGCCGTCTGGGGGGGCGTTGAAACGGAGGGAGGGTGTTCGTGCACGCCGCCGATCTCTCCGACTTACACGAGGTTATTGGATATAACTTATGCGCCTGCACACAGACCTTGACTGGTTGGGCCGGGTAGAAATACCGATGTCTCTGGTTGGCGAGGGATCGAGAGTAAGGAATGGAAGCAAAGCGACCCGAGCACTTCGCGGAGCCGTGGAAAGAAACGAAAGTTAAGCTAAAGAGAGACAGAGAGAGAGAGAAACTGGACTGGATGAAAGTGATCGTGATGGAACTGTGAGAGGAGGGGGACGAGTTGGCTACTAAATAAAGGACGAGTTGCCCTCTGTCCTCGCCCTCTGCACTGGCGGCCTGGTCTCGTACGTGGCTTACGTCTTACCTGCTAGGTCGAGATAGGTAGGTTGCTGTCGTAACTTGCCGTTGCTGATTTCCAGCGACGCCATTCCGCCTCTCTTCCGTCGCTATGTTTAGAAAGAGGGTCAGGGGAGGGGGGGGGGGTGAGGATGTAAGTACTTTACTTGGTGTAAAAACATACCTAATCCATGTTCGCATACATTGCCTTGAAGGCCCTCTTACACATACTTATTATTACCTACACCGCAGATAATCCACACATCCGCACACAGGCATCGTGCCATCGTCAACCACACCTGCTGCATTCGCTCCCTCACCTCCCCTCCGCCGCCGCAAGCCCTCACCCACATGTTGGATGGCCGAATGGTCGATGGTCGACGGCCCGCCAATGCGCCAGCCCAGCTCGCCGCCCGCGGCTACGCAATACCTACGGCCAGACCTCCTCCCAAAAATACGGTGCGGCACGGAATTCGACTTGGCGGGTTTAGTGCGCGTGCTGGAGCGACGCCGAAGTGAGGATCGACGGGCGCGAACCCGGATCCATCGGTGCCATCCGTAATTGGCTTGCTATTATCAGTCGCCCGCCCGTCAATTGCCTGTTCCTGACTAGTTGCCGACTCCTTTTTTTATTTTTATTTTTTTCCCCTTTCTCTCTTAGCTCTCTCTCCCTCTCTCGCACGTGGGAGGATACCAGGGAGGGATCCGCGATACGTAGTATGTAAGCGGGTACGCACCCATGTCAACGGACGAGACAAGCTAGGATGTCAATAAAGAAGCCTCCTCTGTGCTCCAATCATATCCCCGGCCCCGCCTCATCTTCAGACGAAAGGGCGAAAGAGACGCAGAGAAACCGAGGGGAACGTGGATTGTTCGATGAGGAGGAGCCGAGAGAGAGAGAGAGATCTAGGCCTGAAACATTGCGGCTCACCTCGCCCCAACACAGTAAGTAACCCAAGGCCATGCACTGCAACGATACTAACGTCCAAGAAGAAGAAGCCGACTCCGTGGAATTAGGCAGAAGCAGAACGAAGTATCCCCGGCGCGTATTTCTGTGTTCTCTTATATTTGCTGCGCTTCCTCGCCAGTTTCATCCGCGCCGCTGACCTACCTTTGTCGTTTATCTATCACGCACGTGAAGTATCTACGTTCCGACTAGAATCGCGGCTCGCCCTGCGTAATAATAACACCGCCCCCTCCGCGGCCCCGTTTTGGCATGCCCTCACATGTCCCAGCGAAGAGAGCTACCCGGTTCGCCCTGGCGGCGTCGGCACTTGACGCGCGCGCGATGATGCAATATTACTGTGAAACGTAGCTATCCTCTCCCCCACTCCCCCCCCCAGAACGCACGGGTAGCTAAGCGGAGATGGAAATACGGGTGCCTAGGCGTGTGTGTAAATATAGGTGGCATTAATGTGCGAGAGTAGCACGTCGACACGATCGTGGCGACGGCGGGGAGACGAGTCTCCCTCTACGTGTGTGTTGGAGGCATCCATCGGTCGATAACCTCGGACGAAGAGGCTAGGTGTACCTATAACAGTACAGGGCAGACGTCAAACGACGATGGAAACACGCAGGAGGCAGTGAAGGCGAGAATACCATGTGTTAAAGTAAGCAAGCAGACTCAAGCACATGGAAAAGTAAACCTCTTGAAAAATGTAAACCTCTTGAAACTCCACCGGTCCGCCTACCTATCCGCCCATCCCTCTCCTTTCCTTGCCTCCTTTGTACGCCGCACCGTGCTGTCAATTCCCCATCCCTATCCCCGTCTCCACCCGAGCATTCACCACGTAATCGTCACGACCTGGTTCTCGTACTTCGCCCGCTCACCCGCGTTCTCGAGCAGGTTCTCGTAGATCCAGCGGCCGGCGTCGTCGCGCGAGATGCCGTACCCGATGGCCGGCGCGGCACCCGCGCCCGCTCGCACCCGGCGCTCCGGTTTGCCCGCGTCGTCGGTCAGCAGGCTTGGCCGCACCAGCGTGTAGGCGTAGGCTCCCGCCGCGGCGCCCCCGACCAGCACCTCCTCCATCACCTTCTTGTCCGCGTGCGGCACCCGCAGCAGCAGGTGGTAGACGGGCGTCTCGGCGAGCGGGAAGTCGCGGCCGCTCTCGCTGATGCCGCACGTGCTGACGGCGACGATGCGCGGGCGCCACGCCGCCGCCGCCGCCGCCGCCTCCGAGGCGGGCGGGGACGGGGACGGGGAGGCTGCGAGGTCGAACTGGGCGCGGACGAGGGCGAGCGCGTCGAGGAGCGCGCGCGCGCCCTGCTCGCACACGTGCGGGTCGTCGATGGTGCGGCGGGCGAGCTGGAAGACGCCGCCGATGGAGGAGACGACGGTGTCGGCGAGGACGGGGCCGCCGGGGCCGTCGCGGGCCCACACGAGGCAGCGGGCGATGGCGGCGGCGTCGTGGGCGTTGCCGGGCTCGACGCGCAGGTTCGCCGGCGGCCCCGCCGGCGCGAACCGGTCCGTCAGCTTCGCCGGCGTCCGGCACAGCGCCACGCAGTTGTGGCCCGCCCCGAGCGCGCGCGTTAGCGCCGCCAGGCCGACGCCGCCCGAGCCGCCGAGGAAGACGATGGTGCGCTTGGCGCTGAGGCTGCCGGGTGCGACGGGGGACGTCATTTTTTCTGCGCACGTGTCTAGGTAGGTATGGATAGGGGGCAAGGGCGGCGATGCGAAGCGATGGTTGCCAGTTAAAACCAGTGAGGAATGGGCGTAGGTGGGTATATTATGTAGGTATAAGTGTACCAGGGATTGTGGTGTCGTGCGAGGGCCTTTCTTAGATGGTATGGTAGATATCAGTGGGCGGGTAGACTTGAGGATCACCGTTGATGGTAGACCAAAAACTCCAAGTCCCTTGACGAGGGGATCCTGTTCCATTTATCCTCGTCCATCGTCGCTCGTAGCGTCCGCCAGTCTGTCGGATCGTGCACATCTCGCTCGCTCGCACAACCCCCACGCACCACGCAACACCACGGCGTAACGAAAAGAGGCGTCGCGGGCAGCATCTCGGGCATTAGCGCGCGCGAGAAGGCCGCGATCCCTCCACGTTGGAAAGCCCGGCAGGCCGAATTTGCCGTGGTCGGTCCAGGGTCAGAAAGCGATGTTTGTGGCTCAGCTTTCCGCTAGGGGGGGGATCCAATCCGGCTTGGCTGGCCCGTGAAACTAGATGGGGGCGGAGGGGTGTGAAGCGGAGGTTTTATCTCGCCGGCTCGCTCCTCGCTAAGGCAGCACAGCTCGGAGACCTCGGCTCCACGCTAGGCCGCCTTGGGCCGTGCCCTTACAGGTTCCCCCCGGGGCTCGTCGCTGCTCCTCGTCCATCGCCGAGCAGACTCGTCATCGCGTCCGAGACGGGCCAATTCGATGTGGAGGCACCTATGATCTTGACATGGGTATCTAGATATACCTTTCGTCTCTAATCCCCTCTCGCCGTCCGTCTTAATGGCATCCTATCCATGAGTAGAGCATCTGAGTTTTATCTCTTCAGCGCCGACGCACCGATTCCTTCTTACGACCCACAATCCACCGCACCGCCACGCGCCTGCGGCGTAGTCGACGGCATCGCGCTCGTAGGTAGGTATATCTTCCAGGAAGCACCCCCTCCGTTTTATTCATTTACATACCTACCTCTTTACTCACCTTCGCAGCCCAACATCGTCTCAACCCTACCGAGGAGTTGCCCACACCCCAGATTGCCAGCACCCCAACCCAACACCTAATGAGTCATGCGTGCCATCACAGCTAGGTTTTCGGGGCACGACACCGTTCGCGTGTCTCGCGTGGGTGCCTATTAAGCATACCTTAGGTAGTACCTAATAGTAGCTTCATACACTGCATCGCAATCGGACCCCCCAGGATCATCTCTCATGCGCGATACCCAGTCCCCTCCCCTTCCCCAACTCCTAACCGTATAGAACACCCGGGGGATAGGTAGTCCAAGTAAGTATCCAAGAGTCCCCTAAACACAACCCCTTTGTTTATAACGAGAATGACCATCGTCGCGCAGGGGTCCGGAAACCTCAGCGCCACGCCTTCACGTGCGCACCAAATCTAGCATCCGAAAAGGAATGGACGGCGTCGCGCCATTACCACCCATATTATGTACATCATATTCATATGCTCTGTGCTCAAAGCCACGAGATCTACCCTGAGTCCGACCAAGGTTACCTAAGGAGGGGTTGGGGGGGTCGCGTAGACCGATATCAAGCCACCCCTCTCCCAATTTTGCCCGAAAAACTCCCGTATAACCACATCCATCATGTCCTTGTAGACATAGGCTGGCTCTAGCAAGGATTCCTAGGTAGCCATCCCCAGCGTGGCTGTCGCTCCTTTATAGCCAAAGCACGCCGGCTACGGCAACGAGAGCGGCAAATGTGCTAGCGCCGAGAGCGCGTTCTTGCCTCACTCCCTGGTTCTGGCTCGTGTTATCCTCGCCGGCCCCGCACACCTGCTCGAAGCTAGCGGTGCAGGCTGCATTAGGAGAGCCACCGACGACCGTAGGGCTGTTGCTGTCGCCGCTGCTACTTTCGGCTGCCTGACCGTTCGTACCCGGACCGCCGCCGCTGAGCCCCGGGATGACCGCCTGAGTGGTCTGGGCCGCACCCGAAGACGGGTAATCCTTTTCCATATCCAGTCCGGTGCCCAGTAACGACTTGAGGATCGTGTTCGTATCGCTATCTTCAATGGTGTCGTTAGTGGCTTTCGCGTCCTTGTATACGTAGCCCTTGCGCAAGTTGGTGCCCGGCGCCGTGTCGGTCTGGTAGCACTCCATGGTGATTTCGCCTACGGTAGCGTAGTAGTACCCGTTCCTCAGAATATCTTCCGAGCTCCAGTCGATCAGCCCGCCTGCCCAATCTCTCGTGCCTTCGGGGTTCTTCTCATCGCCGCCGGGCCAGAGAGAAAGCTGAACACGCGAGGGAGTTTGTGGGTACGCCCACTGGTTGTGAGCAGCGTCCCACGTCTCGGACTTGAGCTGCGTGCGTCCAAGTCGACCATCCACGTACCATTCGATCTTGTCGGGGGTCCACCTAATCTCATAGGTGTGCCATTCAGTGTTGGTATTGGTGACGCCGGCTTGGGAGATATTTCCTCCGTTGGTGTCTAGGAATTACGTCAGCATACTTCGATAACAACCACCAGAGGCATGCCAGCTTGAGGCGCATCGCAGAGGGACATTCTTACAATCGGTGATGCCTTGGAAGTAGTAGTTGGTCTGTGTGTTTGCCAGGCTGTTGCCGATCCATTCGAAATCGATCTCGTCCTTCACGTCGCTGAACAGGATGAAAGCGGTAACAACACCTGCGCCACGCGAGGTCTTGATACGGGCCTTGACATTTCCGTACCACATGTACACGGTCGAGGCTAGGACGGTGCCGGCAGAGCGGGCGGGCATAGTCAAGAGGACATTGCCGTTGTGAGCTAGGGGTCTGCCCTGGGATACCCAATCGGCCTTGGAAGCGTCGCCGAGGTATTTTGCCCTGTCGACGATACGCTCGAGGTTATTCATCGACATCGACCTAGACTGGCAAACAGGCGCAGCGACACACGAGTCGAGGGTGAAGGACATGCGCGGATCGCAGCCGCCCAGGCAGTATGCGCCAACACCGCACTGGCCATATTCTATCATTCGCTTCAGGTCAGCCTCGTTCGCGCTCACAAACCGAAGAAAAGGGAGGCTTACGGGAACAGCAAGGGGCCGACTCCGGGCACTTCTTCGTTAGGGAGCATGAGGGGAGCTCCTGGGCAAGCACAGCGGATGCGCCAAGCACGGCCAGAGCCACCGTTGTTGCCATTCGCAACATCCTGGACATGGCTGTCGCGGTCGTCCTCCGGGTATAACTTGCGGGATGGGAATTCTCGAGAGATCGTCCCCGTACGGATGTCGTACAGGCGGCCTGCAGCCGGCAGCGAGCGGTTCGACGGCGTCTCGCCGGAGCGGCGTACGGATTCCAGGTAGGTGGGCACAGCACCAAGCGCCCGAGACGAGTGTGTAGCGTGCGGTGGCTGTTGGGCTCGGACAACGCCGGTTAAGATTTTACCGTGCTCTCAGCAAGGCGGGTTTAAAGATCAGGTCGCGGGAAGCGAGTGAGTACGAGACTCGAGGGTCCACGAGCCACAGGAGGACAGGGCGAGGGAAACGAGCGAGACTGCTTATATGCAAGTGAATATCGCCCCGAGTTACTTCTGCGTCGACCACTACGCTTTATGAGGAGCAGTATTAGAGTGTTTCAAGCGAGGGGATTCCAATTCGGCTTTGGAGGTGAGGCAAGCAGAACGCTCTTCGGTGGAGGTTTAGGAGTAGCTTAGTAGTTTAACGACTGGCAGTGACAACGATACATTACAACATAACAATAATTATGAATTAGAAGGCATTATAGGCGGAAGAGACGACGGACAGCAGCCTCGTGGGAAATAGGTACAGCCCACCCTTATTAACAGTGCACGCAACAGACACGCGACAAGAAACCCAAACGAGGCGGGGAGGTGGGAACGATTGACGATGGGGTGATGATGGAGAGGAGGAGAATGGGAAAGGGAAAACAGGACCGAAGAAAGACGGGCAGTGAATCAGCGAGCGAATGAGTAAGTAAGGTAGTATTAGTAGAATGGGCGCGAGTGATAGTGAACGAGAAGGGGGGGGGGGGGGGGGGGAACGGCGACAGGGCAAGGGGGGGTGGAGGGAAATTGGCGTGATGCCCGAATGTTCACTGATCGCTCGTCGAGGCGAGAAACGAGAGTTGGTTTGGGTTAGGCGCTACTGCTATCGCTACTGCCACCGTCACGGTTGTCACGGTTGTCACGGCTGTCACGGCTGTCATTGCCTGCGACGGCTGCTGCTGCTGCTACCTGCGTATTGCCTGCCTCTCCTACTACCTACAATATTCTTCTTACCTATACCTGTTCCGCATATCTCGATGCCGTGAGGTGCTCGCATGGCCGGCATAGGGAGAGAGGTATTATATGCGACGGCTCCGCAGCTATAGCGGCCGTTTATTATCACGGCCTACTCTGCCGGCGGTTGCTTCGAGACTGGCTTACTATTGCAAAGAGGGTAAGCATTAATATTATCGCAGCCATATTGGTCGATCTTGGAACGTTGTTCTTACCTTAGGTTAGATACGTAGGTACCTACCTGCCTAGGTGCTAAGATGTACCTAAGGTAGGGTAGGTACCTAGGGGGATGTTATAAGGGCTTCATACAGGTATGTCTATAGAGGTGCATAGGTATAAACAACACAGAAACAGAAATACCCCCAGCGTTGTGTGTACATTCCCCGGTCGGTGCGCGTTGGGTTTGCTGAGTTTGCGCTGGTGCGTCTGGGCTGCCAGAAGGAGCAAGTCGACGGACCCGCCAACAATCAGAAGTTGGAACCCGTCACCTGCCACCGCCCTCATTGGCCCCCGTAGGCGAATCTGCAGCCCGCGCATTCCGCTTCTAGCGGTACCTATGCTACACCGTGGCTTCCTCCCGCAGCCCCTCGGGGTGCGTGAATGGACGCACCTCTCATGTACCCGGCCTGATGCGGGTGGTACGTACAGAAGCGAAGGTACTTTGTGCGCCTATCACGTCCGGGAAGGTATTTCGTATCATGCCATACCAAGAAACCTCCTTCTGAATGAAAACCTCGTATTCCTTTTTTTTTTTTTCCCTTCGCCTCTTCCTCCTCCCAGCCTTGCCTTACCCGGCCTACCTACCTTTACTACCCGTCTCACTAGTACCCAGCACCCTTTTGATCCCCACCCACTAACTTACTCTTACTACTGTTGCCAATATCAACACCGCTATGCGACACCATCGATGCTACTGTAGATACAGCACACCACCGCCACCCTCTCAATTCAGCGACCCGGCTGCTATGGTACAACACACATACACCCACCTCTCCCTCTATCCCGTATGTGTGTGCATCATGAGTGCCAAGCTCCCAGGAGGTATCAAGCATACAGCCAATTCGTAGCTCGAACTTTCTATCTCGCCGGGTGCTACATCGATGTCGGCTGGCTGGCGAGTGTATCTTGGAGAAAGCACGCATGCCGGGCTGCGTGGTCTGTCCTGCGAAGGTCCCCCAGATCGAATCGCGACCGCTCGATCCTGTTTTCGAGAAGACGGCCCACGTACGGCCAGAAGCCGGCCTCTTGAGCACACAAGACGGCACCCAAGAGTACATGTTGCGTTGCATATGTCCCGTAGCGCTGTCGTCAGGATGCATGGTACCGTCGCAGAGGCTCGCTGAGACCTCGCGGTGCCGGACGAAGCGGAAGCTAGGGAAAATGCGTAAAGGATAAGCTTAGCAGCGTCGAGGCCAATCGTGCCGTGGTGCGCTGTGACAACCAACGCATCGTCTCTCTCTGGGTGCCCCTACACGAAGTCCACGTATCTATCTCCCTACTGGCACATAGGTATACCTACATGTCAGCTTATCTGACGGGGGACGTCCTCTACGTGACGAATCATGACCAAAAAAAAATTACCCGTCTGCCGGTGCTCCCACGAAACGGAACACTCGCTCTCTTTACCTGCCGTCTCGCCACGGGATCGTCCACTACGGGGTAGCTGCGCGATCGCGAGAGCCAAGCAGGGAAGCCCGGCACACAAAGAGGACAATCCACATCTAAGCGCACGCTACAAGTGCAGTATAGATCCAACACTGCTCAGGCGTCTGGCAGGAACAGTGGGCCGAACCGCCGGATCGACGCTGGCGAGATCTGTCTCTCCAGTATTCCCGTATCCGCGCCGGTCCGGTCCGGAGCAGGGCGTCAACACGAGTCGCCCTGGTGTCTGCGGATACGATACGTAGGCCCCTAGGGACACGCGAGAAACCCAAAGTGAGTAAGCATATTGCGCCTGTGTTCAACGCCCATACCACGGTTGTGCAGAGAAGAAACCCCAGATAGGTACCCGTATGGCAATAGCTAGGCTCGTCTTCTTAGCTCGGGTCGGGCATCACACGGCACCCCCTAGCCTATTCTTGTCTCCGTTATTTTCAACTTCTAGAAGACGGGCGGCCTCCCGTGATTAGAACTGTACCCCTTTTCACTCCGTATCTCGCCTGATAGGCTCCGACAATTGGGGACCCTTATTTTGACGCTTGGAATCTGTCTTAGCGGCCGTGGTATCCTGCCCCTTTTGCGATTTTGTATCTACGGGCCCCTGGATTCAACCCGTCTGCCATCCCCAAACGGGCCCCCGGCGATTACTCGTGTGCGGCAAGCCGTCCGTACGTCTCCTAAGGGAGGTTCCTGAATATATTCGACACTCTTCTCCGTAAACGACCACTAGCTCTCTCGTTCTACATAGGATCGTGCGTCCTAGGCACGGCATTGCCCGAAGGCTCGCCCCGAAAGCTGACTGGAAAGAGAGAGGGAAAAAGAAACTAGGAGCCAGGAAGTCAGCCGGTCTCTCCGAGGATTATACCCATAGCAACGGCTAGGTCAGCCCATGCTGTGATCCCGCGCCTACAGCAGCCTTGATAGCGAGCGGTGAACTTCTCGCGTGCCCATCGCCGTTGCTACCGAAGAATACTATCGCGATATTGGTGACTGTCGCTACCGCCGACGCCGAGACCAACATCGTAATCTACGGGTATAGCCGATCCTCCCAGTCCGATCGCGATACCTTTCGTTTCAGAGTGTCGGAATCGACAGGCGAAGGGGGTTTTAGCTGATTCTATCTCCTCCTCCTCTCTTCTCCTCCCTTCCCTTTCTATTCGCATTCACCCCCTTTCCCTCGCGGCGTTCGTCGAAAGCACAGGATTAGAGCCGCATTTAGTTGCTCACGTCTACCTATTCAGACCGACAGGGAGGAAATAATCAAGATAGCCAGGGAAAGAACCGTAGGCAGCTTCGAGGATTCGAATGAAAAGCCATGTCTACAGACTTCCACAGTACGAAATCCGTATTGTCTATTTATCTTACGGATCTCCGGCTTCTCCCTACATGGTATACAACAAGCCACCTCACGTAGATCTATCCCCATCGCCCTTTCTTTCCCTTCGTCTCCCCCCTCCGCTTCTCCTGTTCTTTGTATTTTATATTAGTCCTCCCCTCCGCCTCCACAAGAATGGCCGGAGTGTGGTATTCAAACTCCGACCCCTCTCTCGTCGTTGCTCACCTACGCGCACTTCCTTACAGAAGTTTGAAGCGTTGACGCGGATGGGGACAGATTGTGCCGCCTACCCGTCACTCTCACGTACCCTTCACGTAGAGGAGAGCTGTCGGATGCGTCGTAGAGGGCGAGCATTACGCGGAGGTGGGAGCGCGTGTACGTAGGAAAAGATATACGCGACGCACACGCAGGCATGTACCCCCCCCCCCCCCCCCCCCCCCCCCAACACGAATCGTTTCATTCAGCGAAGAGAGTGCTCGGGGAGGCGAGTCGTGGCACCGGGACGACGGAGTTGGACACATATACATGCTTGTGCATAGCGGGATACATGCGTGTATGAGACAGCCTTGAAGTTTGAATACACGATAGCCGGCCCAGGGCCAGGTACTTAATATATGACATACAGGCAAATATACCGATAGATGAATGGGTATATGGATAAATCGAACCTGGGCGCCCATCCTAGCACCTCTTCCCAGCAGAGATGGGGAGAGCCTGAGGGGAGAGCCGGGTAGCGGCAAGCCCATAGCACAGGGCCGCCCACCAACGCTGACAGCAATATCCATTGGATATGTACCGAGATAGGTAACCCGTCGCTCTCCTGCTCGGGTTAATACGTATGCTTATACTTAGGTACCCAGGCTTATACTTGGGGCTTAAGTTGGCTGGACTTTACCCCTACGCTTATTTGCCTCCTTTACGCCCTCGCTTTGCCTACACATGCGCAGGTATGTCCACCTACCTAGGTAGAGGTTGGATGCTAGCCTACCTCTACCTATAGATAGACACACACACACACACACACATATATATGTATATATATAATATATCCACCCGGATTTAACACGACGGGTATACACGACCGGCAGGCAGACAGACTCCCGCCTCTCCTCCGCCGCCCTCTCGCCCTCTCGTCGTACGCACGTACCCGTCGTCTACACGCCGCCCATCTCTCCGTCTCTGCACCCCTCTACCAGCCCACATCTATCCCGCTGGTCGGCCACACGCGACATGCCCCCCCTTGCCCGCCGCCGTCCTCCCTTCGTCCCCGGCGGCGCCACACGCGCCCCTCTTCCCGCCCGTGCCAAGCAAGACCCAGACGGAAGAAGAAGAAGCAAGAGGAGGAGGAGGAGGAAGAGGAGGAAGCAAGGGCAGCCGGTTACGTGAGGCGGGGCCGGAGCGAGGACCAGGGCTGCTGCACCGGATGCCTGGCGGCGGCGGCGACGACGCAGAATGCGGGCCAGGGGATCTCTCTTCTTCTTTTTCGTTTGTCTTTTTCTTTTTCTCGGTCCGAGAAGCAAGGCCGCGGACAGCACTGCCCAGGGAAAGAAGGCGGCCTGCTTGCTTATATACCTACACAGATACGCGCACACGTAGGTATAGAGCCTTCGTGTCCCGCCTCTCTATCTATCTGTGTGTGTGTGTGTGTGCATACGCCGCCGTAGACCGTGCAAGCAAGCCAGGTACCCAAGGCGACGCCAACACAGACGGACCAGAAACCGCCAACCCTCTCCTCCTGCCCCGTCCGCTCTATCCCCGACCACGACCCGTAGCAAGCGCCGTACCCGCACCTGCGCGCACCCCGGGTACTCCGTAACCTGACGTCCCTACTACTCGCTCCATGCTTACCCGTGCCGGCTCTCTCTCTCTGCGACCGTTTTGATTATGGGTAAGAATACGGAAAGGTTGCCCCCCCCCCCCCCCCCCCCTGTCTCTCCTTCTCCTGGAGTAAGGAGCGAGAAGACGGAGAAGGGGAGACGAGCCCCGGCCTTGCCTTACCAGCCCTGCTCAAGACTCCACCACATTCGTTCTCCAATCTCGGACGCGGGATACGAATATAATAGAATACGTACGTAGGCCTAGGGTACTAGACCCGCGGACAGACACACGTCCGCGTTCTAGTAGAGCATGAGTAGAGTTCCGTGCTACTGGTCTGTCTGATCACGCGACTAGTCCGGCTCAAGCGTGGCACAGTTATTATTAAAAAAAAAAGGGGGGGAGCCAGTGGGGGGCTTTCACGTTGAAATATTAAAAAAAGTCTTAACCTACGGGGCCACCCTACGGAGCTGATAGCCTTATGAGACTAGAGTCAATAAGAAAAGAGAAAACCAGGAATAGAGAGGTGAAAGGCCGTCCACATTAACAATCATTATCGATACCAGCGAGATTTTTCTTCTGTACTTTCCCTTCACTCACTCGCCGCCCCTGCTCCCCTCGACACGAAACACAAGACCGAGACTATTTGTTTCTTGGTTAGGGAAAAGGGTTCTGGTTTTCTAATCAACCTGTTTCTCTCTCTCTCTCGACCGATAAAGGCGGACAGGAAGACACCTTTTTTTCTGCTTAAAAAAAAGCCTCGCAAATCCCGTCATCCCCGAGAAAGAATGAAAAAAGAAAAAGGGAGAAGACTACGGACGTCTATTTCCTCCTTGTCCTCCTTGCCGTGTGAAGTTCCTGAAAACCCTACCATTCTCCCGTGGGGGAATCGTGCTGTGAGAAAAAAGAAACAAAGATACCCTGCCCCTTCCCTTTCCGAGAGGGAAAAGCAAACACGAAGGACGATATACCGACACGGAAAGCCAGAAGACGAGGAAAAACAAGTTCAGGGCTTCAGGAGAGGTCGAGGAGACGAGACAGCAAGATGCGTCCTTGCTTCCGCCGAGTCATCCTACATAGCCGACGCAATCAAGGAATAGAGAAGAGGCAGACTTTGCGCCTGAACTGGTTCTTCTCGGTTCGTAAAAATTGCCCCGCACAGTCTCAAACGGCCTGCTTCACTCACAAAACCTGGTAAGAATGAGCCCATCGAAATTTAGGGGGGGTAAAGACCAATTCCAGTGATAGGAAAGGCAGAAAAGAGGGCAGGAAGGGAGATGACGAGTCGCATCGGAGAAAAATTCTTAACATGCCTTCTGTGTAGCGAATAGCTCGGGGAAGTGCTCCTTGGCGTATTGCTCGCATGCCTAGAACGGTAACAGTTAGCGCGAGAATGAGAGGACGACAAGGGAGAAGAAGAAGAAGAAGGGGTTGCTGACCTTGGCAGGCTTGCCGACTTTCTGGCCGATAGTTTTCCACTTGTTGTTCTCATAGTCCTTGATGGCGCTGAGGAGGGCTTGGCTCTCATCCTCGGCAAACTCGGCATAATGCATGTCCTAAATTCGCGGTTGGTTAGGAGAAGTGGGGAGAGGGTACGGGGGATGGAGTGTCGGTCATACCTTATACCAATGCTTCTTGACACTACCTTCGGTACGAGTAGGGAAAGTCTGTTTCGCAAATGCGTTAATCGAAGCCTCCCAACGATAGGCGAATAGCTAACCTTGGCAATCTCGGCCCAGCTGTTGCCGGCATCACGCATCTGCTTCAGGCGCAGCTCCTCGGCCGGCGTCCAGGGCGTGTTGGTACGGCTCTTCTTGGCCGGGGGTGGGGCAGCCGGAGTGCTAGCCTCCTCCTTGGCCGGAACCGACGGCGGAGCGACCGGGGTGACCTGCATGGCTGGTGCGGCCGGGGCGGACACTGGAGTGGCAGCTGAGGCTGGGACGGGGGTGGTCGGCGCGGCAGACGTGGTGGTGGCAGCGGCCGGGGCAGGAGTTGTCGGAGCGGTAGCGGGGGCGTGCTGCTGCGAATGGGCCGGAGCGGCTCGCTTACGACCGCGGGGCGGAGCTGCTGCCGGGGTTGGGGTAGGGGTGGACTGATTAGAGGGCGCAACGGTAGGCTGTGTCATAGTCATGGGAGGAGGAACCGGAGTTGCATGATGCTGCTGAGACGGATGGGACTGCTGATGATTCTGGTGGTGTCCGTGTTGCGCGTGCGCTCCTCCATGGGACGACTGGTGAGCCTGACCCTGGTGCTGGGGCAGCTGCTGATGATGCTGCTGACTATGGGTCTGGTGCTGTTGGGCACCGGGATTGGCCGTCTGTGGTGTATAACCAGTGAACTCATTGCGGCGTGACATGTCGGCTTGGTAGGGGTGGTTGGAGCTGTATCACGGAGCGACGTTAGCTTTCCCATATGGCTTGGTGTTGCTGGGAGCGACAACAGCGAGACGCGACGGGAGCATGGCTACACAGCATTGGGCTCGATATCAACAGTGGTTGGGACGGACGGCGAAGAGGTGCCGCTCAGCTGAAAAGGCAAAACGGAAAACCAGGGTGTCGAGGTAGGGGAGGCGGGTGCAGGGTAGCAGTAGATGTTTTTTTGTGTGGTTATTTTTGTTTAGCAGCGGCCAGTGAAGCTATCACCAGGGACCCGGCCACTCACGGTGGAGCACGGACGTGTCGACCTGGTTCAATGTTTGCGGGACAAATCCATGGTTGAGACAGCAGATATATACTTGGGGTACATGATATATGGCCGGGTCTCTTGTGCAGCGAGGGCCGACCCTCTCTCTCTCTCTCCTCTCCCCTCCATGTGTACCAGCCATCTGGGGCCGGCGAGGGAGGGAAGAGAGAAGAAGGGGGGGGGGGTGGTCAAAGGAGCCGAGGGGAGATGGGGGAACAGGAAAAATGTGGGGGGGATGGAATTAGGTACGTAGGCGCATTCGGGGAAACAATAACAAGGACGGGGGACGGGTACAAGAGCAGTACAAAGGGACATCGGGCAGTAGGTAGACCATGTATATATATCTGGGAAACAGGGAGGTACTTACTGCATGTCGTTAGTATGCTGGGTGGAGTTCGTGTAGAGGTAGTCCGGCACGGGGCCGACCTGCCACTGCTGCATGATCTGAAAGGGGTAAACTAGCGTCAGCTAAAATACCAAGGCCTGCTATACTTGTGTTTCTTGTGCTTCTTCTCGTCCCCGATACAACTCGGCGAGGTCAAGCGCATGGACGACACCGAGATTCGGGGGAGGCAAAGACACGGAGCCGAGTCGCAGAGGAAAAGGGAAAGGGAGGGAAACAAGAATCGAAGGAGAGTTCGGCAGAGAGCAGGGGTCACCAGGTGAGAATAAGAATTGCTCCGTGCGGGAACGAGAGAGGGAAATGGGCGGAGGCGAAGTAAGGGGAGAAGAGGCGAGGATGGGGACGGGTGGCGGTAGGAGACAAGGGGGGGGAAGGGAACCGAGGGAAATGTTCACCACTGGCTAAAGGAGAGGAAAAAAAGGGCAAAAAGAAAGAAAAAAAAACCAGCAGCGCGAATGGGAATTCACGACAAAGAAACGCGACAGGATAGCGGCATACTGATGACAAGTGGTAGCAGCAGCAGTGATGGTGACAGTGGTCGAGAGGCGGGATGTAGGTGCGAGTGCGAGATACCGCAGGGAGCAAGGCTGTGTATCCTGCACGCGCCAGCAGGCCAGTGGGAAGAGAGAGGCTTAGACATTTCTGACGGGCAACGTGTATGGTGGTGGTGGTAGCAGCAGCTGGTGTCGGGCGTTGGCCGGGCGGTTTGGATGCCAGCCAGGGCGCGGTGCCGCGACATGGCGAACGGTGAGACTGGATTATTGGTGGCGGTGATGGTTGTGCTGCTGCTGCTGCTGCTGCTGTCGTCGACGAGGAAGACGACAACGGTGGAAGAGACGAGGTGTTGCCGCCATCACGGCATTGAGACGACGGGAAGAGAGAGGCAGAGCGGGAAAGGGCCCCAAGACGCGTACCTCGAGTAGACTCGCGCAACTGGAGGCCTTGTCGATGCAGGTATGTGTACGTACGTGTACATGTAGGTAGAGAGAGAAGAGGCAGGCGATGGGGTGATATTGGCTGGCCTGGGGGGTGGGGAATTGACAGGAGAGCGCGGGAACAGGCAACGAAAGACAGCAAAGTAGACGGTACGCAACTTACGGGCAATTAGACGGATGGCAAAGGCACTAAGCGACGGTGCATAAAAAGTCGCGCGTAGCGACGTCGAACTCTCAGCGTCGTCTGCTGTTGCGAAACGGCCTCAGCAGGTATCGAGGCGGTCGTGTTTTGTCGGCCGCGTACAGCAGTGCTGGTGCGAGTATTGCGCGGATGTGCGTGTATGTGTGTGTGTTGCTGCAGACACTTTCTCCCGGATGCGAGGTGTGCGATACCGCAAATACAACACGACGCGTCTTCCTACCTGGTACCGGGCAGGTAGAGGATGTAGGTTGTCGCGGTATGTGATGTGGAGGCAGTCGAGGATGTAGTATGTAGCGGGAGAAGCTTTTGCGTAGGCCGACCAGGTAAACTGACGAGAAGGGTTTAGTCAGTCCGCAGTCAAGTGGGCGCGCGCCAGGCACTGACGGATCAATCGGGACGCGCAAGAGAGGGAGAGAGAGAGATACGTAGAGGGAGCGGCGGGAGGGATGGGTATAGCGTATGTAGAGAGGTATAGTCGACGCGCGAGTGCGCGTATGTGCGTATGTGTGTGTGGGATGGGTGTTGTATAGGGTAGAATGTATAGGTAGAAGGAAGTATAGGTATGGGAGGTATGTACGAGAGAGGTATTTAGGAGGGGGGGGGGGAGGGCGGAGGAGGAAGAGGGAGGGAGGGAGGCGGGGTGACCGGGAGGGGGGAATCTATGTTGTTGCTGCTGCAACGACAGGGAATCAATCGCAGGAGACGGACAGGAACCTTGGTGATGTATCGTGCCTCGAAGACGAAGTACGGAGTACCTGGTGTTTAGGAGGAGGAAAGTAGAGGGAACCAGGAGGAACAAGAGGGAACAAAGTGGTGGATTGGGGGGGGGGGGGAGGGGTGCATATGGCAGAGAACCGTGGGAAGGATGGAAGTCGAAGGAAAAAAAAAAAACAGCGCGAGGGAACGCTGGTCGAGGTAGTGCCTGCAAAGAAAAAAATCCTTCTTCTACCTGCAGTGCACAGACCCCACAACAGGCCCCCTCTCTCCTGGTCCGTGCGACCCGTGGTAATTTGGGTAGCGGCCTCAGGTGGGCGGGCGTGAATGGGGACGCACAGGATGAATGGGGGGCGATGGATGAATGGGCTGTATTACGTATGTGTGTAGGTCGGGTACATGGGCATGTACACTACCTGCGATGAATAGGAGGTTACGTGTTGATGTAACGAGGCGGGCGGCGTGCTGATGTTGTGTGTGGGTAAGAAGAGAGAGAAGTATAGTAGAAGGGGGCGGAGAGGGAGGAGACCGGAGGCGAGAGAGGCGAGCGAGGCGAGTTGTGAACGGATTAGGAGTTTTATGCAAACACGCCAGATGCTTCGGGCATAAAACAATACTTCGGTACCTAGACCGACCCTTGCTTAAGACTCAGGCAGGCAGGCAGGCAGGCAGGGAGACATGGGGGGCTGGTGCTGTGTTTCGGTGGGGAATTGGTAGGTGAAGCGTTTGCGATGCGACAGATGACGCTCAACTCAATTTCCCAGAGATCCGTCGCCGCATCGACACACATGCAGCAGGATACAACAAAACCAAGGAATTGGGATATGGAGGTGTGAGGGACGCATTCAATATTGGCGCGACGGAAATGAATTGGAATGATTAAGCAGTGGTGATTGATAGCCTCTCTCTGTGTGTCTTATTCCTCCCTTTTCTTCTTTTCTTTTCTTTTTGTGATGGTGATGATGATGACTGCACCAGGTGCTGGTTCGCCTTGCGAACTAAAAAAAAATCAGCACCCCAAAAAAGGAGAGCAGGTCACGCCCCTGTCTCCTCCTTTTCTTACCGGAGAGAAAATTTTCTTCCGCCTCTGGCCTGTCAGCTGAGGGAGGAGAGGGGGCAGAGAGAGTCGGGGAGAGCGGCTCCTCTCGCTTTCTCGCCCTCTGTCTCTCTCTCTCTCTCGTTCGCAGCGCAAGAGGCCAGAGATGGCCAATGTGCGCGTCTGCGATTAGGGAACCTGCCTGCTGCGCAAGGATATCCTTCGAGTCGCGCGACGAGGGGGGGGGGAGCGACTTTCGCAGCGGTCCAGTTCCCCGGCCTGGAGGGGTGTACGCGTGCGTGTGTGCAGAGGGAATGGAAATGGAGCAGGTATAGCTGAGGCAGAGGCAGAGGCAGACGGGAGTCTGAATAATGCAGGCAATGGGAACGGTACTAACCTGGACTCGGGTGGGATGGACGGATCTGTGTCGTGTCGTAGGCGCGTATGTACGGTATGTACGTCGACTTCGAAGTTCCCCGTTCTCAAGGGGAGAGAGAGGTGTGTACTTGGGATGCAAGTATCTCCTGGCTCGGTCTCTGTGGTCGATGGATGTTTTGGATTGGTGTCTTCCCGGGATGTATGTATGTAGTGTTTCTTTTCCGTGCCTGGCTGGGGGTGTGGGTTTGGTTGGAATGGGCTAACCTGCCCTCTCCTGCTTGCACCTCGCGAAAATACAATACCAGCAGAGAGAAAAAGAGGGAAAAGTGAAGATTGACCGGTACCGGCTGTCGCTGGTCGAAAAGTACCTTTAATGCTGAGCCAACGTCCCATACCACCTATCCGCCCCGAGGATGCGGCCTCTTGATTGGCTCTGCTGCGCTGCTGCGGGTCTGGAATCTCTTAGCAGGGCGTCCCGGTTGACCTCTGCTCGGTTAATCATATCCCAATTGTCCCCATGTATCTACGTACCCAACAAACCAGCCGGAGGTCAAAAAACCGTCGTGTGCCACAGCGGTAATTATCCTATCTATCCCTTTCCCTCGGGCGGAAAATACCTCAAAGAACATCGCACCTAGCATCAATACGCCCATATTAATTACTCATAAATCCACGCATGGAAGAGTCGGTAGGTACCTAGGTATCTAATACCGTTGCTATGGACAGATCATGCATTGGAAAAGGTACCCACGTATCCAGGTACCTAGGTACCCACCTAACCTAGCGTACATTCTCAAGAAACCAAGGTTTAACGCATATTACGTCGGGTTCAATCTCCACTTGGGCTGCAGCTAGGTACTATGTACATTCCCATGCCTCGATGGAGCATGCGCATGTGGACAACAGGAGAGTGATTCTTTTCTTAACTACCTACCATTTATTCTGTTACAATACCTGGTTTATGTTCTCTTTTATTTCTTTTACGACAAACGGACGACAACTACAC